ATGGACTTTATATTTATTTCTATGATTTGTCTTAAATTTATTTTTGTGTATTGAGATGGAGTTTAATTTTCCCTGGATGGATATTCAGTTATTCCCACATCATTTTAAAAACACTTCCCGGCCGGACGCGGTGGCTCACTCCTGTAATCCCAGCACTTTGGGAGGCCAAGGCGGGTGGATCACGAGGTCAGGAGATCGAGACCATCCTGGCTAACATAGTGAAACCCTGTCTCTACTAAAAATAAAAATTAGCCCGGCATGGTGGCGGGCGCCTGTAGTCCCAGCTACTTGGGAGGCTGAGGTGGGAGAATGGGGTGAACCCGGGAGGTGGAGCTTGCAGTGAGCCGAGATCACGCCACTGCACTCCAGCCTGGAGACAGCGAGACTCTGTCTCAAAAAACAAACAAACAAAAAAACACTTCCCTTGACTCACTGAAATGACTTGGTATCTTGGTCAAAAATTGATTTTGGGCCAGGCGCGGTGGCTCATGCCTGTAACCCCAGCACTTTGGGGGGGCCAAGGCGGGTGGAACACCTGAGGTCAGGAGTTTGAGACCAGCCTGACCAATATGGTGAAACCCCATCTCTACTAAAAATACAAAAATTAGCCGTGTGTGGTGGTGTGTGCCTGTAGTCCCAGCTACTCAGGAGGCTGATACAGGAGAATTGCTTGAACACGCGAGGCGGAGGTTGCAGTGAGCTGAGATCGTACCACTGTACTCTAGCCTGGGTGACAGAGCAAGACGGTCTCAAAAAAAAAAAAAAAAATTGACTTTGCATATATGTGTGGGTTTGTTTCTGGACTCCGTTCCATTGATATGTGTTTCTATCCTTATGCCAATATCACACTGTATTAATTACTGTAGCTTTATAGTAAGTACTGAAATCAAGTAGCCTAAGTACTTTGTCCTTTGTCAAAATTATTTTGCCTATTCAAATTCTTTGAATTTTATCTAAATTATAGAATCAATCATCTTGCCTTTGAGAAAGGCTTATGGAATTTTGATAGAGTTGCATTAATCTGTAAATCAATGGTCATCTTAACAATATCGAGTCTTCCAGATCCATGAATATGGTATATCTCTCCATTTATTTATCTCTCCGTTTATTTATTTTTCTTAGCAATGTTTTGTCATTTTCAGCAAGTGACATTTGCGGAGGTGGCAAAAGGATTCCTCAAGAGTTACTGGAGGCTGGGCACAGTGGCTCACACCTATAATCTCAGCACTTTGGGAGGCTGAGGTGAGCAAATGGCTTGAGGTCAGGAGTCTTAGAGCAGCCTGGCCAACATGGAGAAACCCCATCCCTACTAAAAATAGAAAAATTAGCCAGATGTGGTGGCACACACCTGTAATCCCAGCTGCTCAGGTGGCCAAGGTGTGAGAATCACTTGAACCTGGGAGGCAGAAGTTGCAGTGAGCTGAGATAGCATCATTACACTCCAGCTCGGGCAACAGAGAAAGACGCTGTCTCAATTTAAAAAAAAAAAAAAATGGAGTCCCTCTGTCCATAGAGCTTGCAGTGCATGGCTGAGACCACAGAATCTGCTGTCAGCTTTCTATGCTTCTGTACTGAGGCGTACACAGGACCCTCTAATGAAGCATGCGCCCCAGGGAGTGGAGACGGAGAGGGCAGTCTCTATCTAACCCACTGCGAATTCCTCAGCCTGCTCTGTGGTTGGTGACTTCCTCTGTCAGAAGCCACCTGCCAACAGACTGTTCTCTACCTGTAATGGACACAGCAAGAGCTCAAACTTCACTTCCATTGTCAACCTCTTTTTTTTTTTTTTTTTTTTTTTTTTCTGAGATGGAGTCTCACTCTGTTGCCCAGGCTGGAGTGCAGTGGCGTGATCTTGGCTCACTGCGACCTCCACCTCAGTGGTGCGATCTCAGCTCACTGCAACCTCCACCTCCTGGGTTCAAGCGATTGTCCTGCCTCAGCCTCCCAAGTAGCTGGGATTATAGGCATGCACCACCACGCTGGGCTAATTTTTGTATTTTTAGTAGAGACGGGGTTTTGCCTTGTTGGCCAGGCTGGTCTTGAACTGACCTCAAGTGATCCTCCCACCTTAGCCTCCCAAAGTGCTGGGACTACAGGCATGAGTCATCACGCCTGGCCCATTGTCAACCTCTTGATGGACCCATTTCTTCAGGAGCTTGGCATCCTTTCCATTAACCCCAGGACCTACCAGCTGGGGGCATCCTGGGTCTGTGTCCTCTGCTTCATTGGCGATCACAGCCAAACCACGACAACAGGAAGAGCTATGATATGGCTGTCCTGCTGAAGCGCACATTGCCACCACGTACCTTTGTTCACGCATGACTGGAAGCAGAAGCAACACCATCCCATGATACAGGACTCAGCTTGTTCCTAAGTGATTTTTCCTGGGCAAGAGGAAGGGAGTGGGGCAAAGAGAGTTAGCAGGAAAGTAAAGAGCCCCAGCTTGTCTGCTGAGCTGACAGCAGGAGCCCTTCAGGCTGCATTTGAAGGACACCTTAGAAGAGCTCCTGCACCCAGGCCTTTTGGGGAGAGCCTGCCCCATCTCCCAGGGCTCTCAGGGCAGGTTGTGACAGCCTCACTGGCTAGGCTCTGCTTCTTCCGGCATCATCTGTGTCCTTGTTGCCTCTGCAGACCAGTCCTGCTGTAACTGAGTGTTCTCTGCAGGTCTGTACTTTAAGTCTATGCATTTAAAGTGTTTTCCGTGACTTTTGGTGTGGTTCAAGTCAGTCTCTCCAGGTGCCATTCACCATCTTTATAAGTGCTCTGGTTACAAGGTTGCCTGGGTTTTGAGGGTCTGCCCCAAGCCCTGTTGTTTATATTGTGCATTTTGTTTATATTGGGGATTTTCAGGAACATGTGGATTCTGATTGACAGAAAGCTGGGACTGTCTCTTTACAAGCGAGGTCACAATTTTTTTTTTTTTTGAGACAGAGTTTTGTTCTTTTATAAGGGCACAATCTTGGCTCACTGCAACCTCTACCTCCCAGTTCAAGCAATTCACCTGCCTCAGCCTCCCCAGTAGCTGGGATTACAGGCAGCCGCCACCATGCCCAGCTAATTTTTGTATTTTTAGTAGAGACGGGGTTTTAGCATGTTAGCCAGGCTGGTCACGAACTCCTGAACTCAAGTGATCTGCCTGCCTCGGCCTCCCAAAGTGCTGGGATTACAGGCATGAGCCACCATGCCCGGCCTGAGGTCACAAAATTTAAGGAGGCGGCGCTGTGACGTTCATACTAGCACAGGGTCGCGAACGCTTCCTTTTGATTGGATCCAGCAGAAAGCGGGCCCCTGTCAAGTAGAAGCATCTACCTGGCATTTCTATAACAATGCATGTTTCCGTTTACTGTTCTATCATTCTGCAAACCTGAGTGCTACCTCCTTCTTGGTGCTGACACGCTTCTGTACACACACACTGGCAGCCATAGCTCAGGGTTTCGGTACCAAAGAGGCACCCTCAAGGTCCCTTGCAGACCAGTGGGCACCTAAGTTTGGGAAACAACTGTGGGAGAAAACCTTAAACTTTGGAAAATTTATTATGTAGTGATTCTTTTTCTGCATACTGGGAGGAGACTGCCAGCATTCCTTTTCTGGGCCATCCCCTAGCCCCACAGGATGGTGTGAGGACACCTAGGGCAGGAAAAAGGACCCACTGTGTGAAAAGGGTGTGTGGACAGAGGCTGTGCAGAGGCGGGAGGGCCTCCAGAGGAGGACGTTTCCGTGGGGCTGGGGAAGCACCTCTTGTGCCCCATGGAGCCTGAACCCTCTTGCAGCTGAAAGGGTTTAGGTCCAACTCCTCAACAACATGGAGTGACTCAGAGAAAGCCGATAGAGAATACAGAATATAGGAGAATACAGGGCACCACATGGGCCCACAGAATTGAGGCTCATCAAGCTCTCAGAGAGCAGCTGGTCAAGCCTTTCCTTTTTTTTTTTTTTTTTTTTTCTTTTTCTTTTGAGACAGAGTCTTACTCTGTCACCCAGGCTGGAGTGCAGTGGTGTGATCTCAGCTCACTGCAACCTCCGTCTCCTGGGTTCAAGTGATTTTCCTGCCTCAACCTCCCAAGTAGCTGGGACTACAGGCATGTGCCACCACGCCCAGCTAATTTTTGCATTTTTAGTACAGATGGAGTTTCACTATATTGGCCAGGCTGGTCTCGAACTCCTGGCCTCAGGTGATCCACCCACCTCAGCCTCCCAAAGTGCTGGGATTACAGGCGTGAGCCACCATGCCCAGCCTGGTCAAGCCTTTCCTGTTACAGATGGGGCAACTGAGGTCCAGAGATGGGTGGCAACTTGTCCAAAGTCACAAAGCAAATAAGAGGCAGAACTAGAATGAGGACGAAGCTTCTGAGCCTGAGCCCAGCAGCCTTTCCTGTCCTGCCCTGGTGGCCAGACATCCACTTGTCATGGGAACCTGTCACCTCTCAGGCCCATCTGAGACCTCAACAGCTTCTGAGTGTTTTTGCTGGGCTGTGCCCTGCCCATGGTGCTGAGGACACAGAGGTGAGCCATGGCCATAACAGCTCCGAGGGGCTATGCATGGGGGCCTGGCCATAAATATACAACTGGAGGAATGGACAACGAAGGAACAAAATGTGCACACATTCCAGAAACAAAACAAGGGAGCAATGGATTCTGCTTGGGGGAGTCAGGAAGACAGGAAGCTGGCATTGGAAGATAGAGAGGAAATTCCAGGCAGAGGGAATGACATCATCAAAGTACAAACTAAGAATAAGACAAAAAATAAGAACCAGAAGACTCTGACACACTTGTCAAGGGTTCGTTTCCAGCCAGCACTGCACTAAACATTGTGAATGTTTCACCATTTCATCCTCCCTCCAGCCAGGTGCTCTTCTTGTCTCCGTTTCTCTGACAGGTGGGCAGGTGCCTGGTGTACTAGAAGCATGGTGGGCAGGCTGTTATACAGAAAGTGCAAGGGGGTGCTGGGGCCTGGGAACAGTAGGGGGGCCTTGATCACCCTCACCCTGCACTCTGCTCAGGTGCAGACATTCCATGGAGACCTGCTGCAGCACATGGAGAAGAACACCAAGCTGGACATGCAGTTCATCAAAGTGAGTCTGGCCTCCCCACTCGGCCCCCAACCCATCGTAGGCAGGACCCCCTCTCCCATTTGACAGGTGGGCACACACAGGCCAGTGCTGAGCGTTGACTGGGCCCCAGATTATCCATGTTCCCAGCTGAGCCCCGAGTCTCCAAACTTCCAGGGCCCTGATCTCTGTAAGGGGTGTCTTGAGCTCTCTGATGTGGGGGGATTCTCCCTCCCCAACTCCACCCTACTCCAGGACAGCCGCCAGCACTATGAGCTCGAGTACCGCCACCGAGCGGCCAACCTGGAGAAGTGCATGTCTGAGCTGTGGCGCATGGAGCGCAAGAGAGACAAGAATGTGCGGGAGATGAAGGTGCGAGGGCCGGGAAGCGGGGGAGGGCCGGCAAGGGCGGGTGGGCAGACCCTGGGGCGAGACCGGGCCCTGGGAACCCCGAACACCTCCCTGAGCTCCCCCACCGAGCACCAGCACAACTGTGATGGGCGTGGCTGGGGAGGTCAGCCAGCCCCTGGTGGGGTGGGCGTCACTAGCTCCTGGGGCCACGCCCAGCACCGCCCCTTGCCCTGTGGCTTCCTGGCCTTCCCCAGAATCCCCGGGCCTCTCCTACAACCCCATCCCACCTCCCCCGTCTCCTACTTCACCGAGAAAATTGCTCGCTTGGACATGGTGCCAAAGGTGTCATCCACCAGCTGCCCATCCTCCTCCCCTCCCTCCTGCCCGGCAGAGGTATCCCGCCCCGCTAAGTCCATTTCCCCCTCCTGAGCCTGGGGCCCCATCCCTGGCCTCTGTCTCCAAGATCCAAACCCTCTACCTCCCTTCCCGTCTCTTCTGGCTCCTGGCTCCTTTAAGTGAGCTCATGCCTCCCCTCCTCAGAACCTTCCCCCTAAATAGGGGCTGTTAACCTACTCATTCACATTCTCATTGAACCCGTCCCCCTGCTCCCCTCTCCGGGCAGAGCGATGTCTTAGACACCAGCCCTGCTTGTGAGAAGCACCCGGGCGAGGGGGACGCAGGGCCCAGGATCATAACAAGACTGCCGATGAGGGGGCAGGCTTAGGAGCTAGGATGGGCTGGGTGATGGGGGGTGGGCTTGGGGAGGCGCAGTCAGGAAGGACAGGGGGCTTGAACAGCTGGCGCCTGTGGGCGAGGTGGATGGGATGAGACACACCCACCGCCCCCAGCCAGAACTCCCATTCCCCCCAGGAGAGTGTGAACCGGCTGCACGCCCAGATGCAGGCCTTCGTGTCTGAGAGTCAGCGGGCGGCTGAACTGGAAGAAAAGCGGCGCTATCGCTTCCTGGCAGAGAAGCACCTGCTACTTTCCAACACCTTCCTGCAGTTCTTCGGCCGGGTGAGCTGAACTGGGGGACAGCAGGCGGGGCGCTTCTAGGAGCTGCCCCCGCCCTGAGTGGCCATACACAGAGATGTCCCTGCCTTCTTCCCTCTTCCCTCCCTTCCTGCCTCTTCCCTCTTCCCTCCCTTCCTGCCTCTTCCCTCCCTTCCTGCCTGTCTGTAGAAATTCATTTTATTTTGCACTCTCCATCCATTTCTTTCTTTGTTTCTGGGTTTGCTTGTATCACTGTACATTCACTCATTTATTGACTCGTGATATTGTTTGTTTTTAATGCATTCACTAATTGATGCATTTATTTATTCATGTGTGCACCATTTTTTAATTCCTGCTTGTTTATTTTCACAATTCACAAATTCATTAATTGATAGGTTTGTTCAGTTATTGTCTATTAATTTTCTCTTATTTATTTATTTATTTATTTATTTATTGAGACAGCGTTTCACTCTTGTCCCCCAGGCTAGAGTGCAATGGCGCAATCTTGGCTAACAGCAACCTCTGCCTCCCGGGTTCAAGCGATTCTCCTGCCTCAGCCTCCCGAGTAGCTGGGGCTACAGGCATGCGCCACCACGCCTGGCTAATTTTTGTATTTTTAGTAGAGATGGGGTTTCGCCATGTTGGCCAGGCTGGCCAGGCTGGTCTCAAACTCCTGACCTCAAGTTATCTGCCTGCCTCAGCCTCCCAAAGTGCTGGGATTACAGGCGTGAGCCACCGCACCCAGCCATTTTATAATATTATTTAAATCCTCTACCCTCTTGCCCCGTTCTGCCTGCTAGACCAGTCAGACTCGCTCGTTTCTCATTGAATTTCTAATAGATTTCACTTTCTGAATTGAGCTGCCGTGTCGTTTGGTGCTGTTTTGGTTATAACTATTCTACCTTCTTTGTAAATATTGCCATTTATGTACGTAATGTCTCTCTTAATCAAGTTTGGTGCTTTCAATTCTCCCTTGTCTGATATTAATATTGCTCTTTCTACTTTCTCTTCTCTTTGCTTATCTCTTCGTATGTTAAGTAAACTTTCTGTTACTGACGTATAGCTGACTTTGAGCTTTTGACCAGTCTTAGAGTCTGTGTCTTCTAATAGAAAAGGAATTCCGCCCATTTCCATTTAACATAACAATGAATAGACCTGGGTTTTATTCCTTCTAGATAACTTGAGCTAACTGTAATTATTTTGTCATTTCCTCTTTTTCTCTCATGTTATTTCTTGTCAGTTTGGTTATTATACTATATATTTCCCCTTTCCCTTTATTAATTTAGAAATTGCACTATTTGACCGGGTGCGGTGGCTCAAGCCTGTAATCCCGGCACTTACAGGATGTCTCGTAAAGACGGGCGGATCACGAGGTCAGGAGATCGAGACCATCCTGGCTAACACGGTGAAACCCCGTCTCTACTAAAAAATACAAAAAATCAGCCGGGTGTGGTGGCGGGTGCCTGTAGTCCCAGTCACTTAGGAGGCTGAGGCAGGAGAATGGCGTAAACCTGGGAGGCGGAGTTTGCAGTGAGCTGAGATCCGGCCACTGCACTCCAGCCTGGGTGACAGAGCGAGACTCCATCTCAAAAAAAAAAAAAAAAGGAAAGAAATTGCACTATTCTTTTTCTCTCTACCTGTGGTGACCTCACTTTGTGACTTTCATAATCACATATATATCCACCTATTATCTTTTCCAAAAATGTCAACTTTACCCCACTACACAACACACTATTCAGTCAATTGCTCCCCCAGTTCATAAGATGAGACCTTGATTTAAAGCTTTCCACAAAAATTAGGCTGGGTACGGTGGCTTACACCAGTAATCCCAACAATTTTGGAGCCTGAGGTGCGTGGATTGCTTGAGGTCAGGAGTTCAAGACCAGCCTGGCCAACACGGCAAAACCCCGTTTCTACTGAAAATACAAAAATTAGCTGGGCATGGTGGCAAACACTCGTAATCTGAGCTACTCAGGAGGCTGAGGCAGGAGCATCGCTTGAACCTGTGAGGCAGAGGTTGCAGTGAGCCAAAATCGAGCCACTGCACTCCAGCCTGGGTGACAGAGCGAGACTCTGTCTCAAAAAAAAACAAAAAAAAGATAACACCCTAAGAAGTATTTTCCTGCCCTCCAACTATTCTGAGATGGGGTATTTAGAAAGCTTTTACTCCTCTCTTCATCCTTCCCATCCTCCACCTCTTGGTTTTGCCAAGATAATTTAGGACTTAGTTTCAGACTTCACTAGTCATCTCTACAGCATGACCAAAATTATTTTGATAAACTAATTGTATGTATGTATGTACGGGTATTTGAGATGGAGTCTTGCTCTGTTGCCCAGGCTGGAATGCAGTGGTGCAATCTCAGCTCCCTGAAACCTCCACCTCCCAGGTTCAAGTGATTCTCCTGCCTCAACCTCCCGAGTAGCTGGGATTACAGGCGCCCGCCACCACCCCCGGCTAATTTTTGTATTTTTAGTAGAGATGGGGTTTCACCATGTTGGCCAGGCTGGTCTTGAACTCCCGATCTCAAGTGATCCTCTCACCTTGGCCTCCCAAAGTGCTGGGATTACAGGCATGAGCCACCACGCCCAGCCTCAAGAACCTTTATTTAGATTGCACATGTTACTGTTGCTGGGTGTACCGCCATCCTGTTACTGCTTCACCACACCTGTGATCAGACTCACTGCCCACTGCTGTAACCCCTTTCCATCTCCCACTGCCTTGAGGTCTCTGTTTTGATTGATTGCTGTAGTTAGAGAACCTTCATGGGTGTTTTCTGCACACACACTGTAAGATCCTTGCATATCTGCAAATGGCTAGCTTTTGCCATGCCTGGTGAGTGGTATACTGGCCGGCGGAAGGGCTCCAGAGCTGCAGACCTTTTCTTTCATGGTCCAAGCCCCACTATGTTCTAGCACCCTGTGTTGTAGAATTGAAGTCTGGTCGTGATCTGTCTCCCTTCCCTTTTAAGTAACTGGCTTTTCCTTTGTGGGTGCTGGAGATTTTCTTTGTAACCTTGGGACCAGGAACTTGCCCAGGTGCCACCGTGGTGAATGCCGAGGTCAGCGCTCCTGCAGGCCGCAGGCTCAAGTCTCTCTTCCGGTTAAGGCATTAGTTCCTTTTCTGTTTCTTTCATTATTACCATTCTGCCATCTTTCCTTCTCATTGTGGAAATCCTTATCACTGGAGCCTTCACATCTACGACCTTCTCCCTCACCACATCTATTTTGTTTATTATTTATTATTATTATTATTATTTTTTTTTTTTTTTTTTTTTTTTGAGACGGAGTCTCCCCCTGTCGCCCAGGCTGGAGTGCAGTGGCCAGATCTCAGCTCACTGCAAGCTCCGCCTCCCGGGTTCACGCCATTCTCCTGCCTCAGCCTCCCGAGTAGCTGGGACTACAGGCGCCCGCCACCTCGCCCGGCTAGTTTTTTTGTATTTTTTTAGTAGAGACGGGGTTTCACCGTGTTCGCCAGGATGGTCTCGATCTCCTGACCTCGTGATCCACCCGTCTCGGCCTCCCAAAGTGCTGGGATTACAGGCTTGAGCCACCGCGCCCGGCCTCTTTGTTATTATTTTTTTATTTTTCTTTTTTTTTTTTTTTGAGACAGAGTCTTCCTCTGTCACCAGGCTGGAGTGCAGTGGCATGATCTTGGCTCACTGTAACCTCCACCTCCTGGGTTCAAGTCATTCTCCTGGCTCAGCCTCCTGCGTAGCTGGGATTACAGGCGCCTGCCACCACACCCAGCTAATTTTTGTATTTTTAGTACAGACGGGGTTTCACTATGTTGCCCAGGCTGGTCTCAAACTCCTGACCTCAGGTGATCTCCCCACCTTGGCCTCCCAGAGTGCTGGGATTACAGGTGTGAGCCACCACGCCTGGCCCTGGCTCAGGGTTCTTATCCCTCCCGGGCACTCCCTGAGTCTCTGGATCTGAACCCAGGGGCCCAAGGGTACATGACTGGATCCAGAGACCCAGATCTTGGCTCAGACTCCCATTTGCCCGCTGTCATCACCTCACCCAGCCCCAGGCTCAGCCTTCTTGTCCCCTATTCTCCCACAAAAGGTCTGCCAGGGAGAAACAACTTCCTTTTTAGAAAAACAGTTTTATTGAGATAAAATTCACATACAATTCACCCATTTGCAGTGTACACTTTCTGGTTTGTAGTATATTCACAGAGTTGTGCATCAATCAGCACAATCAAGCTTAAAATATTTTCAATACCCTCCACCACAGTAACCCAGTACCCCGGCCGGGTGCGGTGGCTCATGCCTGTAATCCCAGCACTTTGGGAGGCGGAGGTGGGAGAATCACCTGAGGTAACGAGTTCGAGACCACCCTGGCCAACACGGTGAAACCCCGTCTCTACTAAAAATACAAAAGTTAGCCGAGCATGGTGGTGCATGCCTGTAATCCCAGCTACATGGGAGGCTGAGGCAGAATTGCTTGAACCCAGCAGGCGGAGGTTGCAGTGAGCCAAGATTGCACCACTGCACTCCAGCCTGGACAGCAAGAGTAAAACGCCGTCTCAAACAAAACAAAACAAAACAGAACTACAAACCAGTACCCCTTAGCTGTCATTCCCAATCCTCCAACTCCCCCAGCCCTAGACCACCAGTAATCTACTTTCTGTCTCAATACATTTGCCCATTCTGAACATTTCATATAAACGGAATCATACAATATGTGCTCTTTTGCGACTGGCTTCCTTTTCATTGCTGGATAATATTCTATTGCTTGGATAGACCACATTGTATTTACTCATTTACTCAGATGTATTTACTCAGATGTCAGCCGATGGACCCCTGGTTGTTTCCCCTTTTTGGCTGTCATGACCAATGCTGCTCTGAGCATCCATGTACAAGTCTTCACGTGGACATGTGTTTTCATCTCTCTTGGGTATATAAGAGTGGAATTGTGGTGCCATATGGTAGCTCTATGTTTAACTGTTTGGGGAACTTCCAGACCCTTTTCCACGTCCCCAGCAGTTTATGAGGGTTCCAGTTGTTCCACGTCCCCGCTACTATTTGTTACTGTCTTTTTGATAATCGCCATCTTAGCAGGTGTGAAGCGGTATCTCATTGCAATATTGATTTCCTGTTCTCAGATGGCTAATGATGTTGAACATGTTTTCCTGTGCTTCTTAGCTATTTATAGATCTTCTTTAGGAGGAAACTCTTTTTCACCTGTGTTAAACTCCTTGTTGCCTGTAAACAGTTAACCATCAGCATTAAGAGAAGAGCTGACCCCTTCCTTGACTGCCTCCTGGTGGGTGAGGGTGCCTCAGAAGGGAGCTGTGGTTTGAACAGGCAGATTTTCCCCTATGCATGGTGTGTTAGTCCATTGTGCATTGCTATAAAGGAATACCCGAGGCTCTGTAATTTATTTTAAAAGAGATTTATTTAGCTCTTAGTTCTGCAGGCTGTACAAGAAGTGCATTACCAGCATCTGCTCCTGGTGAAGCCTCTGGAAGCTTATAATCTTGGCAGAAGGCAAAGGGGAAGTTCGTATCACATGGCCAAAGAGGGAGCTGGTGGGGGGTGGGGATGGGGTGCCACACTCTTTCTTTTTTCTAATTATTTTAAGATGGAGTTTTGCTCTTGTCACTCAGGCTGGAGTACAATGGCATGATCTCAGCTCACTGCACCCTCCACCTCCCAGGTTCAAGCAATTCTCCTGCCTCAGCGTCCCGAGTAGCTGGGATTACAAGCATGCACCACCATGCCCAACTAAGTTTTGTATTTTTAGTAGAGACGGGGTTTCACCATGTTGGCCAGGCTGGTCTTGAACTCCTGACCTCAGGTGATCCACCCACCTCGGCCTCCCAAAGTGCTGGGATTAAGGTGTGAGCCACTGTGCCTGGCCACTACAAGGAGATCTTGCATGAACTCATACCACTCATCACCGTGGGGTAGAGCACCAAGCCATTTATAAGGGAGCTGCCTCCATGACCCACCACCTCCCACTAGGTCCCACCTCCAACACTGAGGGGTCACATTTCAAAATGAGATTTGGAGAGGACAATATACAAACCATATCACACAGGGGAACAAGTAACATGCTGTCTGACTCCACTGGACTTCAGAACATCCAAGATCCGACTCCTAAGATAGCTAAACATATGTATTTACTTGTTCTATTTGTAAGTAGAAGGCACACTTAGGGCCGGGCGCGGTGGCTCACACCTGTAGTCCCAGCACTTTGGGAAGCTGAGGCGGGTGGATCACAAGGTCAGGAGTTCAAGACCAGCCTGCCCACCATGGTGAAACCCCATCTCTACTAAAAATACAAAAATTAGCCAGGCATGGTGGTGGATGCCTATAATCCCAGCTACTCAGGAGGCTGAGGTACGAGAAGGGCTTGAACCCGGGAGGCAGAAGTTGCAGTGAGCCGAGATTGCGCCACTGCACTCTAGCCTGGCCAACACAGCAAGACTCTCCAAAACAAAACAAAACAAAACAAAAAAAGCACCCTTAGAAAAAGATTTAAAGAACTCTAGGTGCCTGGGCATGGTAAATTGCCTTTTTTATTCATCTTCAATAATTAGTCTTTGTTTAGTCCAAATCTAGTCAGTAACGTGCCTTCCCACCTCATCCTTAGCTTCTCTGGTTTACTGCAGCTGTGCACATGTATTTCCAGGATAGATTCCTAGAAGTGGAATTGGTAAGCCCAAGAATACAGTCATTGGTTGCACCAATTTACACTTCCATCAGTGACGTATGAGTTTCTGTGCTTCCGCACCCCTTGAAAACAGTATATGAGCAAACTTTCTCATCTTGGCTAATCTGAAAGGCAAAAATGGTATCTCGGTGTGGCTTTACCTCATACTTGTCTTAAACGCGAGCTTGACATCTTTTCATGTTTCAAAGCCATTGGATTTTCTGTGCTGTGACATGCCAGTATCTTTTCATCCACTTTTCTCATTAATTTGTAGGAGCTCTTGATATGTTACTGAAACCAGCTTTTTCTTGGTGATGAGTTGCAAATATGACAGCCAGTTTGCCATTTGTCATTTGCCTGTGTTACGGTTGGTTTTGCCATACAAAAACATTATTTTTTTTTAGTAAAATTTATCAGTCTTTTCTTTTCGAGTTCATGGGTTTGGTATCATACTTAGAATGGCTTTTCCACTTCGTAAACATATTTTTAAAATTTTTCCCATGGCCTCTTTGATGGTTTTGAAACTATATGCAGTGTTTCTTCTCACTCACCGTTTATTTTAATTTTTGTGGTACACAGTAGGTGTATATATTTATGGAGTACATGAGGTGTTTTGATACAGGCATGCACTTACCTGGGTTCTTTGGTCGTAGTTTCTAGCTAAGCACCATTCCTGAGCCTATCGCTGCAGGCAGGAGGATGGGGCGATTGAGTGGCCGGGCCTGGGTGCCACCCCTACGTAGCCCTGAAGCTGGGCGGTGAGGACAGCCCCGCTCAAAGCACAGACACTGAGGGGGACGGGGCAGGGGCGGTAAGGGGAAGCTCTTCGTGGAAAATGGAGGCACCTTTGCAAAAAGTGGAGGGTGTGGGTTGGACGGTGAGCTGGCTTCTGGCTCCTTCCAGCTAGGAAATCCGGTCATCCTGAGCCGGGAGGGCCTGAGCTCTCAGGTCGAGGGTGCCATTTTGGGTCCCCAGGATTCAGGGAGCCGCCCGGACCTGGCTGACTCCCGTGTCCCCACCCGGCCAGGCCCGGGGGATGCTCCAGAACCGCGTGCTGCTGTGGAAGGAGCAGTCTGAGGCCAGCCGCAGCCCGTCGCGCGCCCACTCCCCCGGCCTGCTGGGCCCCGCGCTGGGGCCGCCCTACCCCTCGGGCCGCCTGACGCCCACCCGCCTGGACATGGTGAGGCCCTGGGCGCCCCCGCCGCCGTTCGCGCCCCCGCTGCCCCCTGCGGGGCCCTGGGGCCTCAGGCCCCCCGCCTGGAGCCTCCTGCCCCCCAGGCTCCCGCTCTACGCTGCACCCCCCGGCCCGCCCTTCCGCCCCGGCGCGTTCTCGGCTCCTCCCGCGTTCTCCGCGCCCCCGTGGTGGCCCGGCCGCCGCCCCCAGAACCCCTACGCCGACGCCTGGGACTGGGGGTGGGGGCTGGACTAGGGCGCGGCCCCCGCCCTCCCCGCCCCACCCTCCCCTGCCCGTCTCCCCCGCAGCCCCCGAGGCCCCTGGGAGAGTTCAGCTCTCCCCGCAGCCGGCACGGCTCCGGCTCCTACGGCCCAGAGCCCAACGCGAGGCCCGCGTCCCAGCTGGAGCCAGACCGCCGCTCCCTGCCCCGCACGCCGTCGGCCTGTGAGTGCCCCCGCCCCGGGGCGGCTGGAGGGCCGGGAGAGGTGCGGGGGTGGGGCTGCAGCAGGAGGAATCGAGGGCAGACGCCAGGGAGAACTTCCCGCCCACGTGCCGCCGCGCTCTCCCGCCCGCAGCCTCGCTCTACAGCGGCAGCGCCCAAAGCTCACGCTCCAACTCCTTCGGCGAGCGCCCGGGCGGCGGCGGGGGCGCCAGGAGGGTCCGCGCCCTGGTCTCTCACTCAGAGGGCGCCAACCACACGCTGCTGCGCTTCTCCGCCGGGGACGTGGTGGAGGTGCTGGTGCCCGAGGCCCAGAACGGCTGGCTCTACGGCAAGCTGGAGGGCTCGTCCGCGTGAGTGGGAGCCTTGGAGGGGCCGGGAGTTGGTTGAGAAGGCGGCCCTGGGGGCCGGGGACCCGGGGACCTGCCGGACTGAGGCTTCCCTGGCCTCCCCTGGAGGCCTCGGACAATGCTGCTCTCCTCCCGCCCCCCACTCTCTGCCTCAGTTTCCTCATTCATTCAGTGGGAGTGGGAAGAGTCGCCTTACCAAGTTCAGGATGACGGCCCTTGAGAGGGGGCAGAGGATGGGGGATGGGCAGGTTCTTCCAAAAGTGTGGAAATGGCAGAAATCCTATTGCTTGAGCACCTACTGTGTGCCTGCCTCTGGGAGGAGGCTGTGTCCCCTCTGCAGAGTCAGCCCTGGAACTCTGATGCAGGGGGCTGGGCTAGGAGTAGGGCCTGAAATGTGCTCACCTCTTTGCAGTCACGCTCAGTGGAAATCCTTAAAGCACCTAAACCAGGCTGTTTTGACACTTGGTGTGGAGGAAGAGTTGGGGAGTTTCATACAGTGAGGGCGCCAGAAAGCCCGGAGGACAGCAGGCCTGGCAGCTAGCAAAGGGAATGGATGGGCACCACTGTCCTGCAGGGGAAAACGGGGCAGATGGGGCTGGCTGGAGCCAGGCAGTGCCCCCTCGGGGCTTCATGGGCAGGAGAGTGTACTGCAGGAGAGAGGAAGCACGGGATGAACCCACGCACGGGCAGAGCGGGTGGTGGCTGCTCGCACCAGCCCACGGGTGGATGCGTGGTCCTGTGCTTAGTGGATGGTGGACAGGTGGATGGGTGGACCAGGGGATGGGCGTGTGGGTAGGTGGAGCGTGTGCAAGTGGATGGGCATAAAATGGGAGGGTCACTGACTGGGTGGTTGGCGACATGGGAGGATGCGCGGATGTGGGGGACAGACACTGATGGGTGATTGGAGAGGTGTGAGTGGCGAGGGGGTGCTGGATGGATTTGTGGCTACACAGGGGATGGAGTATAGACAGGTGAGTGGGGGATGGGTGATGCGTGGAGGGGCTCATAGTTAGGCTCGAAGGTCCATAGCTGGGCAGGTGACCACAGGGACAGGAACAGAAGGGGGTCAGTGGGGAGAGAGATGACTGAGAACACCAACGACACGGACACCTGCTGCTGGGGTACCTGCTTCACAGACCCACAGCAGAGAATGGTGTGCCGCAGACGCCCCGGGGACCTGAGGATAGAACCTTCTAGACCGAAGCTGTCACACCCTCCTGGGATGTTCTGGGAATGTCATTATCCATCCTTGACTCACATAGCCTGTTAGGGAAAAGGCTGGCATGTTTTATCATCCATAGGCACTAGCAGGTGAAAACAGAAGTAAACATACAGAATTGATTCTAGTCTGTCAGTTTGAGGTGAAGTAGCTTCCAGAGACCCTGAGGGGAGGATAGTAGCATCCGGCAACCCTGAGGAGAGGATGTCTTCTTTTGGTCATTGTCCCCAGGCCTGGCCTGAAGGACCCTCTGCCTCTGCCCCACAGGAGCGGCTGGTTCCCCGAGGCCTACGTGAAGGCTCTGGAGGAGGGGCCTGTGAATCCCATGACCCCCGTGACCCCCATGACCTCCATGTCCCCCATGACCCCCATGATGCCTGTGAAGCCCGGGAACGAGCTGCCTTCCAGGTACCTGAGTCATCAGGGGTGGGTGGGGGTGAGGACTCCGGCAAGGGTGCCACTGCCCAGCGGAGAGGATCTGCTAGGTACAGGCTTGTTTTGAGACAGAGTCTCACCCTGTCACCCAGGCTGGAGTGCAGTGGCACCATCTCGGCTCACTGCAACCTCCACCTCCCCACATTCAAGCGATTCTCCTGCCTGAACCTCCGGAGTAGGGATTACAGGCTCACACTACCACACCCGGCTATCTTTTGTATTTTTAGTAGAGACAGGGTTTCTCCATGTCGGCCAGGCTGGTCTCGAATTCCTGACCTCAGGTGATCCACCCACCTCGGCCTCCCAAAGTGCTGGGATTACAGGCATGAGCCACCACACCCGGGTGGCAAGGTGCAGTCTTGAGTGGGCCCAGTCCCCTTCAGCCGCTGGCGAACCACCGGCCCTGAACCCCTCTCTCTGCCCTGAAGGCCACTGCATCCACCCCTCTGCCCCCACTCAGGACCTCCCTCCAGTCAACACTCTCCTTTCACGAAGGTGCAGGGAGGAAGCTGTGGGATCCCTCCTTCCTAAGGTGCCCCAGCCACTGGCAGGACAAGGGATTGGACAGGCCCCAACCCCCTTCCTTCCCCTCCTTTCTCTGGACTTAGGTCCTACCCACTCCGGGGCAGCTATAGCCTCGATGACCTCCTGGACCGGCCGGCCAACTCCACAGCACCCTCGGAGTACTGGGATGGCCAGTCCCGCTCCCGCACCCCAAGCCGGGTGCCGAGCCGTGCCCCGAGCCCTGCACCTTTGCCCAGCAGCCGCCGAGGCAGCGTGGGCAGCACAGGGACCGCCACTGACGTCAAGGTGAGCCCTCGCCCGCCCTCTCCTGGGGCCTCCAGTGGGCAAGGAGGCAGGAGAGCAGGGATCCCGAGGCTCTGTCACTGGCTGTCTGGTAGGGGACCCGCCCACCTGGCCTCAGTCTGTTCCTCAGTGCATGGAGGGGTGGTGTGGGGCTGAGTCCGGGCTGAAGGGGAAGACCAGGGTCCTGGAGCAGAATGTGACCTGGGGCTGGCCCGCAGGACGGGGCTGGGGGAGGCCAGGGAGATCATCTACCCATGGAGCCACCCTAGTCTTCTTATGGGGGCGTGGTTAGTCCTCGGAGGTGGTGCTCTGGCCCAGGGATTTCTCACTTCTGCAACCCACAGAATTCTGGGCTTCAGAACCTTAAGGTCTCATTTCCCAGGAGCCTTGCATGGCAGGGGCTCTCTGGCCCAGTCCTCTGCCCTGTGGGCATGGGGAGAGGGAGGGGAGGGGCAAGGGATTGCTTGCTGCTCTCCCCACCAAACCAGCCCTTCCCCACCCCCACTGCAGAAACTGATGTCCTCAGAGCAGTACCCACCACAGGAGCTCTTCCCAAGGTGAGTCCTCAAACGGGGCCCGAACAGTGAGGGGGGTGGCAGGTGTGGCAGCACACACTTGTAATCCCAGCTACTAGGGAGACTAGTGGGGAGGATCTCTTGACTCCAACAGTTCAACACCAGCTTGGGCAACACCGTGGGACCCCATCTCTAAAAACAAAACAAAACAAAAAAATAGATGAAGTGGGGCAAGGAGTGGATGGAGACCAAATAGGGGCAGGAGGCGGGACCCGGCTCAGTTGCCCAGCTGCCTTCCTGAGCCACGGCCAGGTGGGGATCATCTGCCCTTCTCACCCCATCCTCTCCTCCTACAGGGGCACAAATCCTTTTGCTACTGTCAAGCTTCGTCCCACCATCACCAATGACCGCTCAGCACCCCTCATCCGCTGAGGCGGGGTCCGAAGTCATACCCCCAGCACACCTGCCCAGGGGCTGTTCAGAGCTGGCAGTGGCAGTGGCAGTGACAGCAGCAACAGCAGCGGATACCAGAAGCAGGGCCCTGAGACCAGGGGTGGCTGCCCTTCCCCAGACCACTCCGGCAGCCTGAGCAGCTCCAAAGCACTGGCTTGGGGTCCAAGACCTTCGAAGTAAAGCAGGCGGAATGGGGGGACAGGATGATTTCTCCCCCTCCAGGGGCCCCAGGATTCTCCCTGGGGGGCCTACCTCTTGCCCCCCAACCTCTTTTCCCCTTTTCTGCCCCCGTGGGGAGGAGCCCCTTGTACCTGCTTCGTGTCCCACACACGTCCTCTCTGTACGTCTTTTGTAAATGATGAGAAATGAAGTGGACGCAAAGTGATGTGGCAGCAGGATTGGTGGTGTCTTATTTGGGGGACAGGGCAGGGGGTGAGGGATGGAGACTCCCCCATTGGAGAATGGGGTCCAGAGGGTACTGAGGTCCTGGCCATTCCCCGGGAGGCTATCTCACTCCCAGCCCCTCTTTTGGAGAACCCTTTAGGGCTACCCCAAAGCCCTGGCACTGCAGCCCCCATCTCCACCCACTCTCATTTTGATGTGTGGGTTTCATAGGAAGTAGCGGCTGCTCAGGTCAGGGGAGGGTTGGCAGTGGCCAAGGGCTGGGACCACCAGCAAGCTGCCCTCAGGTGGCCTAGACACAGCACTCTTTGTTCTGGCCCCTCCCCGCCCCCACATCCCCAGTCACAGGCATGGATTAGCTTCATCCTGGAGAAAGCCGCCAGTCCCTCCTGGAATGTGGCCTGGGGCGGGGGGTCGGGCGGGGGCAGATGAGGCACTGAGGTGATTAGAACCGTTGGGGTCTCTTCAGGGCAGGGCTGTGCTCCGAGCACCAGACTAGGACCCCCTGGGCAGGGTCTCTGTGTCTGCCACCCCAGGCTCCAGGAGGCACAGGGATTTCTCTTCCTCCCTCCTGGACTGTCGGGACAGGGAGCCCACCGTGGAGCCCCAGCCTGGTCTGGGGCTCCCAGTCTCTTCTCCCCTCCTGGACAAAAGCCTCTTAGCAGGGGTGTGGTGTGGTGGGGGCACACACTCTAAGCTCCAGGCCTGGGGGAGGGAGCGTCAGGCGGGAGTCCGCCAGAAGCTCAGCCGAGGCTGGTGGGAAGCTGGAGTGTCTGGCAGACCCCATCCGGGTAAGCTTCACCGGGAGCTGCCTCGGACAGCTGCAGGGACAGCAGCCCCTCCCTGCAGGCCTCAGGAGACGTGAGGCTGGACCTCACAAACCCACGAGGCAGGCTCAGGTGAGTGCGATGTGAGGGCTGCCTGGGATCACTCTCCTGTCTCTACCTTCAAGTGGCTGCCCCTGTGACAAAAGGACAACAGGCAGGAAAAGCCACGACCTGGTCCTAGTGGAGGAGGGGCAGAGTCCCAGATACTCTGGGGGTGGTGGCACTGCCCAGTGCCAGGAGGGACACTCCAGGCAGGAGGGGAGGAGGCTATCCCCAGCCCCGGGCTCCGGGCTCCTGGTGCACCTGTCTCTGAGTACACCCTCCTCATCTGTTAGGGGAGCGCTTGTAGCTACTGTGAGGGCCCTGGGGGGAGCCCCAGGAATGAGACAGGCTTTGGAGCCATTCTTTGCATACAGAGGGTTTGAGGTTTGGAGGGCAGAAGGCCACTCTCCCAGTGCTGCTAAGGTTCCTACCTGTCTGGCAGAAGCCAGAGACCTGACTCCTCTCCCGCAAGATTCCCAGCTGGCCTGGGGGTGATCAATCACCCATCTCACATCGGAGGAAACTGAGGTTCGGAGAGGGGAGGCGACTGGCCCAAGTCAGGGAGGGAATCCATGGCTGAGCTGGGATGCATGGGAACTCAGCTCCCCTGGCTGATATCTGTTGAAAGTGGCTTTTGTCCCCTTCATGTTCTAATGACAATAGTCATTTGTGATCACTAAGAAATATTAAGAACATGGCGCAAGGCTAAAAAGGAAAATCTTCACACACACTGGCCCTTTGCAGCTGGCATCTGCCCCTCTGCTGTTTGTTCCGTTGTCCCGAGACCCTCACGCATACTTTGGTACTGGTCACCCACCTCCAGGCACACACCTGCTCCACTTCCCGATGCCTTCCACCTGAGGTCCTGAGGGGCCAGCAGTGTTCTCCAGAGGGAGCCTGCTGAGGTGCAGAGTCAGGTGGACCCCTCGTCCTACCCTCGTCCTTCAGCGCCCTTTGCAGGAGAAGGAGACTTGGGGTGAGATTCGTACCTCCGTTTCCCCTTTTGGTTCCCAGACCTGAGCCACGCTCACGTGGGTGGCCCTGTGCCTCAGTTTCCCCATGCTTCATCTCCATTCCCCTCCTCTAGGCTTCTGGCCCAGCCACAACCTCTTGTCCCCGCCCCCTCCCAACAGAGGCAGCCATGGGCGCTGGCGGCCCCCGGCGGGGCGAGGGCCCCCCAGACGGCGGCTGGGGCTGGGTGGTGCTGGGTGCCTGCTTCGTGGTCACTGGCTTCGCCTACGGCTTCCCCAAAGCCGTGAGCGTCTTCTTCCGGGCGCTCATGCGCGACTTCGGCGCCGGCTACAGCGACACGGCCTGGGTGTCCTCCATCATGCTGGCCATGCTCTACGGCACGGGTCAGTGTCCCCGCCCGGCTCTCCGCCTCCTCAGGACCCCTGGGACCCGGAACCAGGAGACACCCGACCCCCTGAGCATCCCCCTGACCGTCGGGGCGGCCCCCGAAGTCCCTTCCTGCCTGTGGGAACCCTGGCACCAGAAAGAGGGGAAGAGAGGGCAGGAGAGGGGACAGCGGCCACAGGCGGGGCCAGCCTAGGGGGCTGCCCTGTGAGCTCAGAGGGACCCTTCTGAGATCTACACCTGCTCATTGTAGAGGCGGGAAAGCTGAGATCTACAGAAGTACTCCCCATCCCCGCAGCACTGACCTGTTAGGTGGGGGGCTTGCTGGAGTTCCCATCCTGGGAGGCAGGGCTGCGGAGGAATCCCAGGCTGTGCCAGGGCAGGACTTGGAGGCTGTGAAGGTTAAAGGGGTGTGGAAGTCCCCGCTCTGCTTGGGGTTTGGGTTCTCAGGAGGGGTGGGGATAGGGTGCTCTGGGCCTTGCCCTCGCAGGCTGCTGTCTCTTTGGCCTGTCCCCTCCAAGCTGTGTGACCTTGGCCAGACAATGCCCTCCTCTCTGGGTCCCTGAGCCGGAGGTGACCTTATTCCTTAGAGGACTCAAGCCATCCCGGGACCCAGGTGGTGACCCTGCCCTGCCCACAGGCCCCGTGTCCAGCATCCTCGTGACCCGCTTTGGCTGTCGCCCGGTGATGCTGGCGGGTGGGCTGCTGGCTTCCGCGGGCATGATCCTAGCTTCCTTTGCCACGCGCCTCCTGGAGCTCTACCTGACCGCTGGGGTGCTCACAGGTGAGGGCCCCCTGGTCTCCTCCCCTCTGGTTTGGGGGTCGGGGGTTCTTGCTGCAAGATCTGCCCTCGGTTTCCCTATGTGGGACAGTCTTCGAAGTCCTTCGGCTGGGTTCTTGGATCTGCTGGGTTCCCGGGCCTGGCCCCTCCCTCCTGCGGGGGCCAGGGAGGGGCTCCCTGGGGACCCTGGCACAGCGCCGCCTTGCCCGCAGGCCTGGGCCTGGCCCTCAACTTCCAGCCGTCGCTCATCATGCTGGGGCTGTACTTCGAGCGGCGGCGGCCTCTGGCCAACGGGCTGGCGGCGGCGGGCAGCCCCGTGTTCCTGTCCGCGCTGTCGCCGCTCGGCCAGCAGCTGCTGGAGCGCTTCGGCTGGCGCGGCGGCTTCCTGCTGCTCGGCGGGCTCCTGCTGCACTGCTGCGCCTGCGGGGCTGTCATGAGGCCGCCGCCCGGGCCGGGCCCGAGACCGCGCAGGGACAGCGCCGGCGACCGCGCGGGGGACGCTCCGGGCGAGGCAGAGGCGGACGGCGCGGGGCCGCAGTTGAGCGAGGCAACCCCCAGGACCCGGCCCCGCCGGCGCCTGCTGGACTTGGCAGTGTGCACCGACCGCGCCTTCGCCGTTTACGCCGTCACCAAGTTCCTGATGGCGCTCGGGCTCTTCGTTCCCGCCATCCTGCTGGTGAACTACGCCAAGGACGCGGGCGTGCCAGACACCGACGCCGCCTTCCTGCTGTCCATCGTGGGCTTCGTGGACATCGTGGCGCGGCCGGCGTGCGGCGCCCTGGCGGGCCTGGCGCGTCTGCGACCGCACGTCCCGTATCTCTTCAGCCTGGCCCTGCTGGCCAATGGGCTCACGGACCTGAGCAGCGCACGCGCGCGCTCCTACGGCGCCCTAGTCGCCTTCTGCATCGCCTTCGGCCTCTCCTACGGCATGGTGGGCGCGCTGCAGTTCGAGGTGCTCATGGCGGCTGTGGGCGCGCCCCGCTTCCCCAGTGCGCTGGGCCTGGTGTTGCTCTTGGAGGCCGTGGCCGTGCTCATCGGACCGCCCTCTGCTGGTGCGCCCCGAGGGAAGAGGGGGTGGCGAGCCTAGTGCCCCTTAGACCGAAGGAAGCTCTCTCCCCTCGTCTCAGATGGAACTTCCAGGGATGAGGGGAATGGGCAGCAGGGTGGGTGGACTCCCCTTCATGGCCAGTTAGTCCCTCCTCCAAGCCGGACCACCCGCTCTGGGTGAGGACAGAAAAGCCGAGGAAGGTGCGGGAAATAAAGCAACACTGATAGCTGGCCAGGTCTGCCATCCCAAGTAGTTGGCACAAGGCCATCTGAAGCGCAAGTGCTTATTCTTATTTTGCAGATGAGGAAACCGAGGCACAGAGGCTTAGCGCAAGTTGCAGCCCCAGAATGAGAGCTTCAGTGTACCTAATGCTAAATGCCCACACCTTTAGAATGGTGCATCTAGAATGGTGACTGGAATGGGGACAGTATCTTTGGGAAACTGGTGTTGGGACCAGAAACAGAGTGGGGGTGCTCAGCGGGCAGATAGGGAGAAGGAGAAGCACTGGTGTCTTTGACTGTGCAGATGGCCTGCTGTCACTTGTCACCGTCACCCTTAGGAAGTCATCGTCATGAGGGTGGTCAGGAAAGGCTTCCTGGAAGATCCCCCAGGTGAAGGCACAGCATGGATGGGCAGGGTTTGTTAGGGGGAACAGCATCCTTATGCAAGCAAGGCAGGAACCAAAACTGGAAAGGTGGGAGTGGGGAACACGAGGGTCTTCCCAGGCTGTCAAGTTACCTTGAAACAGCAAGGAGGCTGCCTTTGAGTCCCAGAGGCCAGAGGGCTGTGGGATGGTGCAGTAATGGGGGAGGGCACCTTACAGGGGGCGCAGGCTGCACGGAGATGGGGTGAGCTGCCCGTCCTTCCTTCAGGGCTGGGCTAACCAAGTGCCCTCACTGAGCTCTGTCATCCCACCTGACCCAGTGAGAAGAGCAAAGCCCCTAAGCCAGTGTGTGGGCAGCCCACAAAATCAGCCTGTCCAGGGCTCAAGGAACTGTCTTCCATTTCTTGTGTGAATCTGGGTGGATCTGAGGGGCAGAGGAGGTGTGTGGGGTGAGGAGAATGACCTAGAGAGAGGGTGGAATGCACAGACAAACCACACTTTAGGGGGAAATATTTGCAAGTAAGAGATTTTCCTGGTCAGGTGTAGTGGCTCATGCCTGTAATCCCAACACTTTGGGAGGCTGAGGCCAGAAGTTTGAAACCAGCTGGGGCAACATGGCAAAACCCTGTGTCTACCAAAAAAAAAAAAAAAAAAAAAAATTAGCTGGGGTGTAGTGGCATGCACCTCTGGTTCCAGCTACTCAGGAGGCTGAAGTGGGAGAATGACTTGAGCCCAGGAGGTAGAGGTGGCAGTGAGCCAAGATGGCACCACTACATTCCAGCCTGGGGAATGGTGCAAGACCCTGTCTCAAAAGAATAAGAAAATTCCTGAGGCCAGGTGCAATGGTTCACACCTGTAATCCCAGCACTTTGAGAGGCCAAGTTGGGAGGATCCCTTGAGCTCAGGAGTTCAAGACCAGCCTGGGCAACAGAGCAAGACCCCATCTCTAAAAATCCATAATAAAAGAGAGAGAGACAGCCGGGCGCAGTTGCTCACGCCTGTAATCCCAGCACTTTGGGAGGCCAAGGCAGGCGGATCACCTGAGACTGGGAGTTCGAGATTAGCCTGACCAACATGGAGAAACCCTGTCTTTACTAAAAATACAAAACTACCGGGCGTGGTGGCACAAGCCTATAATCCCAGCTACTAGGGAGGCTGAGGCAGGAGAACTGCTTGAACCTGGGAGGCGGAAGTTGCAGTGAGCCGAAATCGTGCCATTGCACTCTAGCCTGGGCAACAAGAGTGAAACTCTGTCTCAAACAAAAAAAAAAAAAAAAAAAAAAAAAAAAAAAATGAGACTTTCCTAAATTTGAAAGTAATATGTACACGTGATAGAAGCCTTGAGAAATAGAGAAGGAAATAAGTCACTGGCCCGCATGCCCCGCCTGTGTTGATGATGGCTCGGTCTGGGGTGCTCATGGGCCTCCTGGGACACAAGGGTGGGAGGACTAAGTCAAGCCCCTGAGGACCGGGGTATTTACATATGGCAACAGCAAGAGGTGGAGGCCCCCAGGAGGGCAGAGCTAAGCCCATGGCCCCTCCCCACTCCCACCCCAGATGCCCCACTGCCAAGCAAGTCACAGGACACTTGTGGGGCTTGAATCAGTGGGAGGAGGGGACGCCTCACCAAAAGCCCCATATCACTTAGGCAGTTGAGGTCCAGGGACAGCAAGTGACATTTTTAAGGTTTCATATGTCAGAACCACATAGGGTTTTACATTTGTAAAACAGGAATAAAGAGTGGGCATTTGTGTGTCACCCATGAGCCTCACCAAGTCAGTGGCACCACCCTTGACCTGAGAGTGCAGGGAAGTGAGGGGGGGACCCCGCAGGGCCTTACCTCTCCCACCTTCTCCCTGTCCCCAGGCCGCCTGGTGGATGCATTGAAGAACTACGAGATCATCTTCTACCTGGCAGGCTCCGAGGTGGCCCTGGCCGGGGTCTTCATGGCTGTCGCCACCAACTGCTGCCTGCGTTGTGCTAAAGCTGCCCCAGCAGGCCCAGGCACTGAGGGCGGGGCCAGTGACACTGAGGAAGCTGAGGCCGAAGGGGACTCTGAGCCCCTGCCTGTGGTTGCAGAGGAACCTGGCAACCTGGAGGCCCTGGAGGTGCTGAGCGCCCGGGGCGAGCCCACAGAACCAGAAACAGAGGCGAGGCCGAGGCTGGCTGCCGAGTCTGTGTAACTCAGGGTGCATCTGGGTGGGGTGGCCCAGTGACTTGGGAACACGGCTTCTTGTCTCAGAAGGCCTGGTACACTGGGAGGCTGGTCTGGGGTGGTCACTCCCGGGGTCCACGTCTGGGCTCCAGTTAATCCCCTGGGTGTCTGGGAACTGCCTCCCTCATCTGTGCCCCAAGTTCCACCAGGCCGTGCCCCATTGCCAGTGAAACCGCTATGAAGCAACAGGAAACTATTGATAAAGCTCAGCTGAACGACAGAAGGTTCTGTTCCTGCGCCTCCGCCCAGGCTCTGGCTGCCACCTGAGTTGGGGGTCGGGGTGGCAGGAGGGAGTCTGGGAGGTCTCTCTCCAGGCCCCCGAAGCCAGCTTCTAGGTGGGCAGTGTTGGGAGGAAGCGTCAGATGGATGAAGAGACCCATCGTTCCCAGGTGTAGACACAAGGGGCTGGGTGGGCACAGGGCTCAGGGGCACGGGGCTGGGTGGGCACAGTGCCTGGCTCCTGCCCAGCCCCAGTGCTCAGAGCTGTCTGCTGAAGCCCCCCTCACTAGCGTCTGCCTTTTCCAGTGGAGGGATTGAGGGGTTGGCAGCAACTAGGGCTCAAGGTTGGGGGCTGCTTGCAGGCGGGGGGCCGGAGGGGTCTTAGAGGGCTCAAAGTCCCAGGGTCAGGGTCAGTTTGAATCCCAGCCCGGCTGCTTTCTTTGTTCACTGTAGGCTGAGCACACGACTCCGTCCCTGGGGTCCTGGGGGGCCGGGGGGGCACCAAGCGCTCAGTAACAACATGGGCCCTGCTGCCTTCCACTAGGTGGCCATGTCCCCTCACCTTCCCAGAGGGCATCTCTCCCCCTAGAGGATAAACTTGGGTGTCCAGGGCCAGGGGCTTTTGCTCTGGACACTGTGCTGGCAGCCAGGTCATCCGCTGATCCCAGCACCTGCCTTCTCCACACGGAGTGTCCCACATCTCCCTTGCACTTTGACAACTGACCTCCTGCACTTGGATCCAGGTGCACAAATCTGGCAAGACGCGATCTGTTCCCTCTACGTATTTATCCTCCTCCCATACATCACACCCCCTCTTTCTTTGCCTCCCTCTGAATCATGAGCGTGGTGAACAGGCCCCTGCAGAGGAAGCCGCCTTCCCTCTGCAAACTCCCGTTGCCTTCCAGCCCAGTCCATAGTGACCCCTCCCCACTGGTCCCTGCTGGCCCTCATATTCCATCCAGGCCCCAGGAAGGTCTGGGGAGCCTCACAGATGCCTGGCCACCTTCTGCTTATACAACCTATGGCTTCCCCTGTGCCACTAGAGCAGCAACTACGTGTGACTTTGTTTATTTTATTTTATTTTATTTATTTATTGAAACGGAGTCTCGCTCTGTTGCCCAGGCTGGAGTGCAGTGGCACAAGCTTGGCTCACTGCAAGCTCCGCCTCCCAGGTTCACACCATTCTCCTGCCTCAGCCTCCCGAGTAGCTGGGACTACAGGTGCCTGCCACCACGCCCAGCTTATTTTTTGTATTTTTAGTGGAGACGGGGTTTCACCGTGTTAGCCAGGATGGTCTTGATCTCCTGACCTTGTAATCCGCCCGCCTTGGCCTCCCAAAGTGCTGAGATTACAGGCGTGAGCCACCGCGCCCAGCCCTTTTGACTTTAACACTTAAGAGTGCTTACTCTGTGCCAAGCCCTGTTCTAAGCCCTTTCTAGATGTTCATTTAATCTCCTAACAAGCCAGTGAGGTAGGTGCCACACTTCAGATAGGGAAACTGAGGCCCAGGGAGATCAGGAAGTAACCCAGGCTGTCAGTTCCAGCCTGTGCCCTTGGCCTCCACTCTGGCTGCCCCCTTCAGGGACGTGGTGAGGCCTGATGGCTCTACGGGGACCCAGGTGGGCTCCTGGTGACAGCCGGCCCCTCCTCTATGTCGCACCCTTGCCAAGCCTCCCATTTGGGTTTGTGCCCAGCACTGCATGCTCAAAGCTCAAACCCTTTTTCCATCCTGGACTCAGCCCGCCTCGCACACCCTCTTGCCCCCTCCCATTATCAGGATGGCCATATTCATCGTCCAAACTGGAACACGTTAGAGTGACAAGGGCCACTACGACTGATCACACCAGGCCGAGGCTGGCCAGAAGCAGAAGCGGCCACCCTGTTTCTGCCACTCTGCAGATACTCCCCATGGCCTCTCTCCACACCTCTCTTCCCACAGCCCTTTCCCCATTGCCCGGGGGCACAGGTGCACCTGGAGTCAGCACTTGCCCCTTACCACCCTCCCCTACTTGGGGGCTCAGTCGCCCTAGCTCCATGTCTGCCCTTCTCTTCCCCAAAGGTTTATTTCCTGTTGGAAGCACAGAAAGGTCACAGATTGGGGGCAGGGGGCGGGGAGGGTGAGATAGAAAAGGCTCCACAAAGCAGAAAGCTTTGGAGGCAGGTGGCAAAGTCAGGCCTTCAGGACAGATCTGAGTTAAATCCCACTGTGTCCCCACACATGGTATGGCCTTGGGCGGGATCCTTCTCTGAGCCTCAAATCACCAGCGGTAAGGGGACCACAGTGCCAGCCCTGCAACGCTTCAGTGAGGCATACATGACACACCGCGAGGGCACTATGGTGGAGGAGAGGGGCAGACGAGGAGGGGCTGAAGCCACTGCGACCACTGCGCCATCCAGGTTTGTTTATTCGATACAGGCCCAGAGCCCAGCCCTCCTTCAAAGAAGTGGCCAAGCTGGGGGAAGAGAATAAATAAAGGCCGCCGAGGTGTGATGGGGACTGGACGGGCTGGTCTGGGGCGAGGCAAGGGTGCCCAGGAGACACTGGCCCCAACCTCAGCTGTCCACCGCCGGCCCCACTCCCGGCAGGCTCCGGGGGCAGTGCGAGTGCCCACAAGGAGCAGGGCCCGGACTCCTGCCACCTCCAAGTCCTTTCTTTTCCTTCCTGCCCTCCCTCTCCTTCCTAAGGCAGGTCCAGAGACCAAGCTCTCCCTCTGGCTGGAGAGCCGGGAGGGGAGGGAGGGTGGAGGGGCCAGTGTCCAGGTCCCAGGCCATGACCCTGGTGCCTGTCCTGGGCAGGAGCCCAGGTTCACTGTGCGAGGACAGAGGAGCAGGGAGGCAGGCGCCCCAAGCCAGCAGGCCTTTATGCGTCGCCCCCTTGCTTGGCGACCCCGCCCCACTCCCAGGTTCCGTCCTCCCACGCACCCTGCCCCCGGCGCCATACCCGCGGGGCACTCAGGAGTCACACCAGCTTCCACCCTTGTCCAAGGGCCCAGCAGCCCCTCGTGTATCCCTGGACGGCTCCCCAGCTGCCGTGTCCTCCTCCTCCTCCTCCTCCTCCCCATCTGTGAACTCCTCCTGGTTGAGGCCGTAGGCCAGTGTGGTGTGCGCCAAGTCCACCTCGATGGGGAAGACATCGGCATCCCGCAGCACCGCATAGCAGTCGTTGTAGTACTTAGACATGGTGGACACGAGGCGCTGCAGCTGGAACACGATGTCCTGGACTGGGGTGGGAGGTCGGGGGACAGGCAGCAGTGGGCTCTGGCTGCCTGCCTCGGAGGAGACTCTCCCAGCCCACCCGGCCCACCTCTCGTCTCCCCTGGGCTTCCCACTCGGGCACTTCCCTGATCCCTCATGACCCGGCAAGGGGCAGAGGCAGGGGCTGCCCAGCCCGGGGTCTCCCAGCTCCCAGTTCAGGGAACGCAGGAGGCTGCAGGGTCAATGGATCATGGACGGCCGCCCACGGAGCCCACATGCAAAGGCTAGCCCCACCCAGGCCAGACTCTGGGCAGGTGGCTGGGCTCCTGTAGGGGCTTCGCATCTGGGCTGTGGCCTGGCCCTGAGACTTCAGGTGATACCTTACCCCTCTGGGCCTAGTGTTTTCCCACCTCTGAAATGGAGAGTGGCCGGGAAGGAGGGCGGCGCTCACCGTGCTTCTGGTCCAGCAGTTCCATCTTCTCCAGCACGTCCTTGCGCATCTGGGAGAAACGGGCGCGCGCCTCCTGGCGGCAGCGCAGGATCAGGCGGTACTCGTAGTTGCCGGTGCTCACCCGGTAAAGGGGCTCGCCTAGGGCCTGGGGCGGGGGTGGGACAGGAGGGCCTGCTCAGGGACAGTCTCGCCCCGCACCCCACCGCGCTTTCACCCCACGGCGGTTCCTCATTCCTGAGACCTCACTTCTGAGACTTCAGTGTTCCTCAGAAGCACTTAGTGATAGCTTTGAAGAGAGGAAAACACCAAACCCACACCTCTGCCACATTCAATGAACATTGGCCACAAGATGGATCCCGACGGCAAAAACATCAAAAACTTAAAAGTGCCTCGTAGGAGTGAAAAAATCCGATTTTCCCTCCAAGAGCCCCCCAGACTGAGGAAGTGGTTCCCTGGCCAGGTGCCCAGCACCCCGAGGCCCAGCAGGACTGGGGAGGGTGGCCCCAAATCGCCAGGAACCAGAGTCCAGCCAAGTCCCCCAGTCTCTCCCGGGTTGGCCTGAGCCACCTGCTATCCCTGGCAGATCAGGTGGGGGAAGGTAGGAGCCCTCCACCCCCTCCAACACTCACAATGCAGCTGTATTCCTCGTCATCCATCTCCTTCACCTTCAGGCAGTACGACTGTGTGGGATAGGTGAGGCTGTCAAAGTGGCTACCCCCACCCCAGGCCCGCAGCTCCACCCCCCATCACCCACACGCATTGGGAGAGGCTGGCACAGGTGTTCAGGGAGTCCCAGAGAGGGCAGTAGCAGGTGACTGAGGCATGAGGCTGGGGGATGACCAGGGCCTGAGGCTTAGGCGGCCCAGAGTTGACTAAACTCAAGGCCCAAGAGATGCTCTGGGAAAAAAGGGGTCTGTCATTAAAGAAGCTTAGGAAGACCCTTGAAAATTCACACTGCACATGGGCCTATCAAAAACTGAAAAGTCCTGCAGCAAAGGAAACTTGGCTTGCTTAATGGAGCATTTTCCCTCAATTCATTTGACTATAGAATAATTAAATGTAAAACTCACAAACATTCACTGACACCCACTTTACGCTCACTCACTTAGTCTAACCCATTGTTTAAAGGCAACAAATCCCAAGGGGTCAGAGTGCAGAGAGCAAGAGCCATGCCCACCCCAGGCTCTCAGATGCTTCTTTGTGCAGGCGCATCAGGGCTTTGGATGCACCTCCCTGGGCCCCTGGGCCCACGCTTTGAGCAGACATGCTGTCGGCTCTGGCTAGCCTCGCTTGCTGCGGCGTGGCTGACGGAAGTGGGGCAGATCTCCAGAGTGAGCGCTCGCCCTAGCAGCCTGGGCACGTGGACTACTCACCAGGTACTCAAACTTCACGTCCAGGTACTTCTTGATAGTGAGGCGAGTGTCTGGGATGGCTTTGTTGAGGTACGTGTTCAGGTCCGTCAGCATCTGGAAGAAGGTGGGTGGATGCTGAGGCTGTCATAGCAGGGAGTGCCAGGGTGACAAGAATGGCACTGATGCATCACCCCTGCTGGTGGACTCAACCGTCAGAGCCAGACAGTGCTCCCTGATCCCTTGTCTCTCTCAAGGATGAGAAGACTAGTGCCAGGCCCAGGGCAAGCTGTGACTCAGTGGCGAGCCAGGTCAGAAGCCCAGCAGAGGTCAATGGCAAGGCCCAAGGAGGTGCAGTGACTCACTCACGGTCCACTGTGTGGGCGACCGAGCCAGAGGCTTTACCCAGGCACAGGACTCCAGCATAGGACCTTCTCTGCAAGCCACACTCTCCCCTCCCCACCCCCACATGCCAGACACACGTGTGCTCAACAGGACCTACCGGCTTGATGGTTTTCAGAAGCCGAATGCCAAACTTCTCGATGCTGCGGTGGGCATCGGCGAACTTCACAAAAGCCTCGCTCGCAGCTGGCTGGGGCTCCCGCACCCCGATCACGGAGAACACGTCCCCAAAGGCTGCAGGACAAGTTTGCCTTGAAGGCTGCCCCTACTTGGCCCCCTAATGGAGAAGCCAGGGATTTGTTGGGGAGAAGCAGGGCAGGAGGCCTGGCAGGCTGGAGGCCAATGTCTGCACAGGGTCTACACTTCCAAGAGAGCTGGTCTAAACCCCCTGAAGGAGCTGAGTCTACACCCGGAGGAAACTGAACTGACACCTCCAAGAGCTGGTCTATGTCCCCAAAAGTCCTGAGTGTACACACCAAGGGAGTTGGCCCCCATTCCCCAGAGGGACCAGCGAGAGAAGGCTGGGTCAAGGTTTGAGGAGGTGGTGCCGCCTGAGGCAGAACACTGGTCCGAGTCTGGACACCTGGATTGGAACACCAGCTTCACCACTCGAGAGCGGTGTGGCCCTTTCCTCAGTCTGGGCTTCCTTTTCTGCAGATAGCTGGGGTCAGCTGCAGTCAGCCTGCCCAGAATTACAGGTTTGTCAGAAATATAAATAAGCAAGGGCCTTGTGCACTGCCAGTGGCAGTGTGAAGACAGGGTGAGGCCTGTCCATCGTTGCGGCCCTTAAGAGGCCAGCTAATCTAGACGCTCCCCGCAGACCCATCGCAAATCCTAGCACCTGGGACCAGGCCCAGCCCAGAGCTGGCCTGAGGTCAGGCGCTGTGGGTCTGACCCACCTCAGCACAGGAGTGGGAGGCCCCAGGGATTGCCCAGGGTCACGCCACAGGTTTGGGGGATGCCATTACCCCGGTGAGTCTGCGACAGCTCATAAAAGGCCCGTAGGAGGTTCTTGGTGTGTTCCGTCATCCCTGTGGGAGAGACCGAGTGATGGGAACGGTGACGCACGGCGGGCACCACACTGGCCCAGGGCAAGGCCTCCAACTGCCCACCCCACCTAAGGCCTCTGCTAGGCCCTGATACACAGCCTTTCCCAACCACCCAACCATGGCCCAGGGGTAAAAGCTCAGTCCAACCCACCCCGTGAGGAGCCCCATCAGACAGGGGCACCAGGATTTTGTAAGATGCAGGGCACACAGCCTGCTGTGGGCTTTAGCCCTGGGACAGCATGGGATTCCGGGGGACTCTCACTATGTTTACAGGTGCTATTCTCTGAATACAGGCTTGAGCCACCGCTCCCGGCCAGATTTTTTTTTTTTGAGATGGAGTCTTGCTCTGTTGCCCAGACTAGAGTGCAGTGGTGTGATCTTGGCTCACTGCAACCACTGCCTCCCTGGTTCAAGCAATTCTCGTGCCTCAGCCTCTTGAATACTGATTACAGGCACAAGCCATCATGCCTGGCTAATTTTTGTATTTTCAGTAGAGATGGGGTTTCACCATGTTGGCCAGGCTGGTCTCAAACTCCTGATCTTAAGTGATCCGCCCGCCTCAGCCTCCCAAAGTGCTGGGATTACAGGCGTGAGCCACCGCGCCTGGTCCCTGAGTTATTTTTAAATTCAAAAGAAGTATATATATATTTTTAAGAACTCTTAATGCCCATGGTCCCAGGATTTTGTAGGTTGGTATTCCTAGTGCCAGCACCCCCACTGCCACTCTGCTGACAGCATGCTCCCTGGGGTAGAGCCTGTGCCAGGACGAGGCCACCCCCGATCCACCTTTGTACAGCTCGGCGGTCCGCTCCAGCTCCTCTAGCCTCTTGACAAGCCCATCTGTGAGGATTCAAAGAAGAGGGGAGGTCAGTGGGCTCAGCAAGCCGCAGGAGGCCCAGGGCCAGGCTGGGGAGGGGAGAGGCAGCCCCAGAGGAGAACCAGGATGGGAAAGATCAGGGGTCCCAGGGTGGGGGATTTGGCAGCTCAGGTCAGCTGGGTTCAAAGGTGTTTTGTAAACGACTAGGCCCTGCTCATGGCCAGTGGAGGGTCCCTGCCTAGCAGGCGAAGCCCCTGCACTTCTATCACAAAGCCTGCTGGCAGCCGGGGAGGAAGGCTGGCAGGAGCCATAGGAATGGAGATGGAGCAGCCAGGTCGCCAGCGCAGGCAGGACGTGGTCGCTGCCTCCCAAGCACACAGATGGCTCAGAAGGAAAATTGCAACTTGGGGAGGGAAGGGGAAATTCAGGAAGGCTGAGAGAGTTCACACTGGGAAGAGGCCTTGGTGATCATATTCATTGGTTTAACTGGGGTTTCTTGAGCACCTACTGTGTGCCAGCCACCATGTCAGGCTCACTTTGAGCCAAGTCTTGCTCTCAAGGCTCAAAGCCCAGCAGAGAAGCCAGCCCAGTGGCCGGGTGATGGGCAGCGGTGTGATGGTGAGGGCTGCAGGGGAGAGGTGGGGCAGTTGGGCACTCTCTGCTCCCCAGTCTCCTGTGTTGACCTGGGTCAGGGTTTTTGAGCAGAAGCGGGGAGGAGCGGAGGCTGTGTTCAGGCCTCTCTGGGCAGGGAGGAAGCTGTGTGACAGGCTGTCAGGGGAGGAAGGGAGCACTTCAGAGGTCTTGGTGAGGCTTTGGCCACCCAGTGGCCTCCAGGCCTGGGCTCCCCAGAGCCTTAGCACCCGGCCAGCCGGCAGGAAAGGAGCCATGTAAGCGTCGTGCTGTTGTTTTTAGCTGGGTCATGGGACATCATGAGAGCTTCAATTTTAGAAACCCTATTTAAGGCCAGGGAAATTGCAAGGTTTGGGGGGAAAAACACAACAACCAGTTCTAATTTCATCTCAACGGCTGGTAACTACAGTAACAGAGATTTATAGGCACCAGGAGGCTGAAAATAGCAGCCGCCACTTTTGTACACCATTTGGAACAAGCTCAGACCCCACCCCCACTTCCCTAGCCAATAAAGCCCAGTGTGCCCAGCTGAGCCTACAATTTCTAGAGGTATTTATATCTACCCCACACGCACACTGCAGAGCTCCTGCTATTTTTAAACTCGGACTGGCGACGGTAGGAGTGGGACCAAGTGTTTCGTTGGCCACCCCGGGGAGGGGAAGTGTGTGCGCATGTGTGCATGCGTGTGTAAATGTGCATGTACACGCCTCTCAGCTCGCCTGGGCAGCCACCTCGAAGGGAGGACCTGCTGAGGCAAGGGCAGCAGCGCCACCTCCTGGACAAAGGAGGCGTGAGGTGGGTAGCAAGAGTGCTGGGGTGAGGGGTAAGGGAGCTGAGGGCAGGGGCAGAGGCACCACCCCACACTGAGTCTGTTTCCCCATCTGTGACCTGAGGGACACTGGCTAGGACAGCCCAGCTGACAGCTGTGGACACTCCAGGAGCTGGAGAGGCCTCTGGGGATGCAGAGATGGTGACTTCTCAGCTCCACGGGCAGAGGCCAGGGTCAGGCCCACGGGACCCATAGCAGCTTGGTGGGCAGCCATGGTGCCCTTCCTGTCTTCCTAGCCTGGGCTTGAGTCCCCGGGGCCCAAGCTGGGTGGGAAGGGACTCACCATTGCACAGGATGGCCCGGCTCAGGCCCAGAGCATCTGCAGTCCCCGAACTCATGTTTTCCACCAGCCGGTGCTTGACTTTCTTCAACACTGAGCGGGGGACGAAGGACTTGGTGAGTCTGTGGCTGCCCAGAGGCCATCCCTGTCCCCAGCCATACCTCCATTCACAGGGAGCATCCCACAGGGGGCAGAAGGACTGCTGGGGGTGGCTGTGAAGTGGGGAATGTCCAGCGGGGAGGTCCTAGGTCCCTGCCCTATTCCCTCTGCTTCACAGAGGTGCTGGCAGTCTGGGCAGTTGAACACGGAGGGCTTCGCCCAGGGCCTGCTGCACATCAGCTGGTGGTCCTGAGAGCCCAGTGCCGCCCGGGCTCCGCACCGGCCAATGGAAGCCAAGGAGGCCTCTTCCCTCCTCTGTGTCACACCAGGACCTAGGGTGTCGCATAAAGGGGAAGGGGAGAAGAGGGGCCCCTGGGCTGGTTATGTGAAAGTAATGGGCGCCATCAATGACCATGAAGCTCGGAGCCCAAACTCAATTACTGCATCTCACCAGCTTAGTCCCAGGAAGGGGACTTAGTCCTGTGTTGGAACGAAAGGGATTCGGAGGAAGCTCCTGGACAGATCCAGTCTGCCCTTAGCCCCTTGGCCTCTGGCCCTAGGGTGTATGAAGAGGGCTGCCGGGTTCCAGAGCTGAGAGACCTGGGGGCGCGCTCACTAGGGGCTGCAGCGCCCTCTCTGGGTCTCAGGCTTTGATCCGTAATGTGAAGCAGCGGGTCCAGAGGACTCAAAGCTGCTGTCCAGCTCTTGAGTCTTAAGTTTCTACAGAACCAAGGCTCAGCCCCTCTAACAGGAGGGACCCTCTTATCCCAGGGCGCAGACCCTCTGCCCAGTGCCTGAGCTCCAGTTCAGATCCAGAGTCCCTGGGAGCTGAGGGCGGTCGTGCTAGAGGGCATGAGGTGCCAGGCCAGGGTTAGGCTGCTCTGCCTTTATGAAGAGAGAGGCCCTGGGCCGTGGAAGCCAAGGCGATGGCCTGCAAAGGACAACCCTAGGGTAGCAAGTTCCCAGAGGAGGTGGCCGAAGTGGGGAGGTAGGGGTGAAACACGGGGGAGTGAGAAACCAGGGACAGAGTACAGGAACAGATGCAGGGAGAGCACCGGGGGTCCTCCCAGGCCTTTCAGATTTGCTTGGTCAGAAGTCAGAGCCCACAGCCATGTAACTCTGGATTCTCCTGTCATAAAGGGGAGGGCAAGGCTGGCTGGGGCACTTCTCCGTTGGGCCAGGGCCCATCCAGGGCGGCTGCTGGACACCCGTAACTGCTCTGACCAGCTTACCAATGTCCAGGGACATGCCCTGCTTGGGGTCCGCCTGCAGCTTGTTGTAGTGGATGGTCACCTCCCCCTGGAAGAGCAGCACACACAGACTAGTGAGGGAGGCTCCAGACCCTGAGCCCTTCCCCACCAAGACTGTTCTGGACTGAGAATCCTGAGCCCAAGGCCAGGCACGGTGGCTCACACCTGTAATCCCAACACTTTGGGAGGCTGAGGTGGACAGATCACTTGAGGTCAGGAATTTAAGACCAGCCTGAGCAACATGACAAAACCCCATCTCCACTAAAAATACAAAAATTAGCTGGGTATGGTGGTGCGTGCCTGTAGACCCAGCTACTCAGGAGACTGAGGCACAAGAATCACTTGAACCAGGGAGGCGGAGGCTGCAGTGAGCTGAGATCGCACCATTGCACTCCAGCCTGGGTGACAGAATGAGATTCTGTCTCCAAAAAAAAAAAAAGAATCCTAAGCCCCAGTAAGGGGCCAGGCTGAGAGCTGTGACATGGCCCCAGCTTGTGACTCTGTCTGCTCCCAGGCCTCTCCGTTTCTGCTCTACATCCAAGCCCTGGGGAATCAGTGGGGACAGGGCCTACACAGGGCCCACAGCCCGGTCTCTGATGTCTTGTGCTTCAGTCAGGTCAGGCTCTCCTTCTTCCCTCCCCAGTCAAACCACACTCCAAGCCTTTGCCGCGTCCTTTCCCTACACTGATTATTCCCTCCTCCCCGGCAAACCACCCCATCCCCAGGAATCCCTCTACTCATTGAACGGCTACATCTGAGCACTTGCTCTGTGCCTGGTGCTAGGGCACCAAGGGGAAGGGGCAGGGGCAGCCCCAGCCCCCAAGGCTGATGCGAATCAGGGAATCACACAAACCACTTTCTAACGACTGCTCAGGAGACACAGGCTTCTCCCAAGAGGAATTCCCTGAGCACGGGAGGCTACTGTGTTCACTCTCATCCTTGCAAACCAAAAACCCTTGAACTTGGGACCACATTCATCCACATATAAAACAGGATTTAAAAATCAAGTCCCAAAGGGAAACCAAAATGAGAGATGCGATCAGAGTCAGAGGTGGGGTGTGAACTGCTCCCCCAGAATAAAACACAGGCGTGCCACCCACAGGGAGAAGCTATAGGCTCACGGCAAGCGGGCTGCAGTTCAGCTGTGTGACCACAAGCAGGTCACTCCCCGCCTCTGGACACCTGTAAGACGGAAGAGTAATCCCTGCCCAGCACCCAAACAGGGGAGCTGGGCCAATGCTGCATCCCTGTCATGGCTGTGTGCAAACACAAAGAGCTCTTGTCCTCACGGGCAACCTGAGGAGCTGGTGTGACCAAGCCTGAGAGGACAGGGAGGGACCTGACGAGCAGAGATGGGGAGGGGGGAAGGGGCTGCCGAAGAGGGCACACACAACCCAACTCGGCCAGAACAAGACCCCCTGCACCTGTTCCCGTGATCAGTTCCTCTGCCTAACAGGTTACGCCTGGGGCAGTGATACCCAGACCATGTAGAGTGGACGCCTGGGGCAGTGATACCCAGGCCATGTAGACTGGCAGCTGGGGTCTCAATGAACCTTGCTGCTTCCTTTTTTTGTTTGTTTTTTTTTTTTTTTTTGAGACGGAGTCTCGCTCTGTCGCCCAGGCTGGAGTGCAGTGGCCGGATCTCAGCTCACTGCAAGCTCCGCCTCCCGGGTTCACGCCATTCTCCTGCCTCAGCCTCCCGAGTAGCTGGGACTACAGGCGCCCGCCACCTCGCCCGGCTAGTTTTTTGTATTTTTTTAGTAGAGATGGGGTTTCACCGTGTTAGCCAGGATGGTCTCGATCTCCTGACCTCGTGATCCGCCCGTCTCGGCCTCCCAAAGTGCTGGGATTACAGGCTTGAGCCACCGCGCCCGGCCGCTGCTTCCTTTTTTTACAGCAGAGCTCTGAGCCCCAGCCCCAAGCCCCGATTTGTCCTACGGCTAAAGGGGCTGGAATAGGAGAATGTACAGGATGGGAATATTCCTCCCTATAGCAAGGAAGGAGAGAAGCAGGGACCACTCAGGAGTAGGACAGGAGGATAAAGGGGAGAGAGGATGGAGCAGCGGCTGGCCTGGCTTAAGGCAGGAAGGGGGACTATCAGGGGTGCTAGAACCCGGAGGATAGAAGTGGGGCTGAGGGAGGTGGTTGCAACCCTTGGCCAAGGTCAACTCACAGTGGGGACCCCTGCCCCCAAGACTTCTAAATCACCCCGCGTCTGTGCACTGCCTGCACATCAGTTCCTTCACAATATTGGTTTCCTGAGACTCGCTAGCAGCCACATCGCTAGGAAATGGCAAAAGGGCTGCATCCTCGCTTCGGGAGAGGCCAGGATGCTGCCTGCCATTCCAGGAGGGAGTGTCCCTGCAGAGAGGCCTGGGCCTGTAGCAGCAGGGGTGGGGGAAAGCAGGGGCAGACAGTGTGTGACTCTGGTCCATAGAGCAGAAGATCAGCTGGCCTGGGACGGGGGGTCTCTGGGTGTCGATGAGCCCAGGAGGCTGCATGGGACCGAAAGTTCCTACAGGATGGGGAAAGGGTGCTCTTCCTTGTCTCTTAGCCCTCGCAGGCCCAGCATGACCCGGCTGACATTACTGGGTGTCTACTGACCCGGGTAGGATCACCTTGGACTTTTAGCTTCAGCTCCAGCGCTGACTGGACACATGGGCTTGCCTAAGGGATGGTTCCGAGTCTGTCAGCTCCCCAGGAGCCCACGGGGACCTTGTGGCCTTGCCGCCCACTCTCTTGCCAAGGTTCAGCACAAGTCCTGGAGCATGATTACTATTTATTGAATGAATGAGGGATGGACGAGGGAGGCTGGAGTGTGACCCTAACCCTGCACGTGCCAAGGAAGGGGGCTGTGAGGGCTGATACCCCCTTGCAGGCCTGATGGGGCCTCTGGCAGCCTGGAGGTCTCAGAAGCATGTGTGGCTGCCTCTGGACACCTGCTCTGCAGCAGCCCTTACCTTCACCTCCTGAATCATCTTCGCCACCTCCACCTTGGTTTTCCCTTTGATTGACCTGCCATTGACACCGGTGATCTCATCGCCAGCTGCCACTGTGCCGTCCAAGGCTGCTGGGGTGTTGTCAAATACCTGTGGGTGCATAAGGAGAGTGGTGGGGTAAGAAAGGGAGGGCTAAGATGGAACTTGGGAAGACACCTGACCACTGCCTGGCCCTGTCTTCCACTCTACCCTCTGCTCTCGTTTTTTGAGAACGCATCTCACCACCTGGGCTAGAGTGCAGTGGCGTGATCACAGCTCACTGTGGCATTGAGTTCCTGGGCTCCAGCAATCCTCCTGCCTCAGATATACAGTCAAATGATTTTTTTTTTTTTTTTTTTTTTGAGTCGGAGTTTTGCTCTCATTGCCCAGGCTGGAGTGCAATAGTGTGATCTTGCCCACCACAACCTCTGCCTCCCAGGTTCAAGCAATTCTCCTGCCTCAGCCTCCTGAGTAGCTGGGATTATAGGCATGCACCACCACGCCCAGCTAATTTTGTATTTTTAGTAGAGACAAGGTTTCTCCATGTTGGTCAGGCTGGTCTCGAACTCCCGACCTGGATCAGATGATCCACCTGCCTCGGCCTCCCACAGTGCTGGGATTACAGGCATGAGCCACCACACCTGGCGTCAAATGATTTTTGACAAGGGTGTCAAGAACATTCAATGGGGAAGGACAGTCATTTCAACAATAGTATGTGAAAAATGAAGTTGACACTACCTAACACCATATATAAAAATTAACTCAAGGCCAGGCGCAATGGCTCACGCCTATAATTCCAACACTCTGGAAGGCCAAGGCAGGCAGGCCACCTGAGGTCAGGAGTTCGAGACTAACCTGGCCAACATGGTAAAACCCCATCTCTATTAAAAATGCAAAAATTAGCTGGGCATGGTAGTGGGCGCCTATAGTCTCAGCTACTCAGGAGGCTGAGGCAGGAGAATCGCTTGAACCTGGGAGGCAAAGGTTGCAGTGAGCCAAGATTATGTCACTGCACTGCAGCCTAAGCAACAGAATGAGACTCTGTCTCAAAATAATAATAATAATAATAATAATAATTAACTCAAAATTGATTAAAGACCTAAATGTAAAAGTTAAAACTATAAAACTGAGAAAAATGCCTAGCCCAAAAGCTTCATGACATTCGATTTGACGGTAATTTCTTGGATATGACAGCTAAGACCCAAGTAATAAAAGAAAAACTTAATAAATTGAACAAATTTTCAAACTGGTGCATCAAAACACACCATCCAGCCTGGACAATGTGGCAAAACCCAGTCTCTACAAAAAAATACGAGAATTAGCTGGGCATGGTGGTGTACGCCTGTAGTCCCAGCTACTTGGGAGGCTGAGGTGGGAAGATAGCTTGAGCCTGGGAAACAGAGGCTGCAATGAGCTGAGATCCCATCACTTTACTCCAGCCTGGGCAACAGAGTGAGACTCTGTCTCAAAAAAAAAAAAAAAAAGAAAGAAAGAAAGGAGAAGAGAAGAAAAGAAAAGAACATTATCAACAGTGTAAAAAGGCAACCCACAAAATGGGAGAAAATATTTGCAAATCACATTTTTGATAAGGGATTAATATCCAGAATATATACAGAATTCCTAAAACTGTTTTCTTTTTTTCCTCTTAGCTGATTATGCTTTGTAGAGAATTCCTAAAACTCAACAACAAAAACCAAACAATCTAATTCAAAACTAGACCAAGGGCTGGGCATGGTGGTGCACACCTGTAATCCCAGCATTTGGGAAACTGAGGTGGGAAGATTGCCTGGGCAATATGGCAAAACTCTGCCTCTACCAAAAAAAAAAAATACAAAAATGAGCCAGGAATGGTGGTGTGTGCCTGTAGTCCCAGCTACTCAGGGGGCTGAGGTGGGAGGATGACTTGAGCCCAGGAGGTTGAGGCTGCAGTGAGCCGTGATCGTGCCACTGCACTCCAGCCTGGGCGACAGAGCAAGATCCTGTTTCAAAAAAAAGAAAAGTTAAGATGGTAAATTTTACCACAATAAAAAAAATAGAAAAAAACAGAACAGAGAATACAGAAAGCAGGATGTCATCATCAAGATACATGACAAGAAAGACACGGTGTTCCCAATGACATCACCCTCTGAGGATCTGGCACAATAAAAAAAAGACTGTGCTTGCAGCTATCATCACGACTCTTCCCAACACCAGAGACAAAAAGAAGGTCCTCGAAGTCCTCACAGATCGGAAATAAAACATCACAAATAAAGGCTCACAAATAAGAATGGCAATAGCCATGTGACAGCAAAAGATAATGTGACAAGGCCATCACGATTCACACAGGAATTATTGTCAACCTTGACATTCATTCTTGAATCTGATGAGCCAAAATGTCAACTGAAAGGAAAATGGGAACCACAATGACCAAATCACGCAGACCCGAGGTCTCAAAAAATTGACATCCCACGTGCCCTTTCTCAGAAAGTTACAAGAGGATATTCTCCATGGGAGACCAGGGAGTAAACCAGGAAAGGGACCCCCAAGATGGGGGAATCCAAAGAGGAGGGGCAGGGGGAGGGCACAAGGGGGAGAAACTACAGGGCAGAAAACAGACTGAAGAAGATGGGGCCAGGCACAGTGGCTCACGCCTGTAATCCCAGCATTTTGGGAGGTGGAGGCAGGCGGATCACTTGAGGTCAGGAGTTCAAGACCAGCCTGGCCAACATGGTGAAATCCTGTCTCTACTAAAAATACAATTAGCCAGGCATGGTGGTACGTGCCTGTAATCCCAGCTACTTGGGAGGCTGAGGCAGGGGAATCACTTGAACCCAGGGGCTAGAGGTTGCAGTGAGCTAAGATTGAGCCATTGCACTCCAGCCTGGCAACCGAGCAAGACTTCATTTCAAAAAAAAAAAAAAAAGAAGATAGGAAATTCTGGAAAACATACTGAGAAAACAAGAAGAGTGCAAAATGAAAAAAACAAAACAGGAAATTACCCCCACCCTCTCAAAGAAGAAGAAAAGGCTGAATTAAGAAAAGAAACACAGATTCCTCAGGAAGTTAAACATAGAGTTGTTTCGACTCGAATGAGAGCTCTGTAAGAGAGGGATCTTTGTTTTCTTCACTTTTTTATCCCTAGTGCCTACAACGGAGCCTAGGAGGCACTTGGAAAAGATTTCCCGAACAAAATATCTGTTGTACTAATAGTAATTTAGCCAAAAATGGAAAAATAACTATGTTGGAAAGGTGGGAGGAGAGGAAACAGACTGGTCAAGGGAAGAACTAAATTCTCATCTACCGGACGAGGCAAAGTCAATAGATATTTACAGGTGACAGATCAAGAAATAACAGGATAGGCTGAGAGTGGTGGCTCATGCCTATAATCCCAGCACTTTGGGAGGCCAAGGCTGGTGGATCAGTTGAACCCAAGAGTTTGAGACAAGCCTGGGCAACATGGCAAAACCCGTCTCTACAAAACATACACAAAAATTAGCCAGGTTTAGTGGCACGTGCCTGTAATCCCAGCTACTTGGAGCCTGAGGTGAGAGAACCATCTGAGTCTGGGGAGGTCAAGGATGCAGTGACCCATGATTGCACCACTGCACTCAAGCCTGGGCGACACAGTGAGACTATTGAGAAAAATGGAAGCCCATGCATGAAGAAACAGAGAAAGCCGAGTGAGGTGCGCAGGGGAAGGGCAGTGGCTTGCTATTATTTGACACAGGACTTTTAATGCTCTTGACTTTGTAGAGGCAAGTCACATGGCACTTTGATAAAAACAAAATGGAATTTTAAAAAATCGATTATATTATTATTATTATCGAGATGGAGTCTCACTCAGCCGCCCAGGCTGGAGTAGAGAGGCATGATCTCGGCTCACTGCAACCACCATCTCCCGAGTTCAAGCAACTTTCCTGTCTCAGCCTCCCGAGTAGCTGGGATTACAGGTACCTGCCATCATGCCTGGCTAATTTTTGTATTTTAGTAGAGACAGGGTTTCATCATGTTGGCCAAGCTGGTCTTGAACTTCTCACCTCAGGTGATCTGCCCGCCTCAGCCTCCCAAAGCGCTGGGATTACAGTGGGGAGGCCTTGCTAATGCCTCCTGGGTCACAGGAGGCCAAATGGCTCATGAAGGAGGCAGCACTGTGAGCAGAAGCAAGACCAGGTCAATCCTGGGAATCTGTCTTTGAGGCCTACAAACGACTCCTTAGCAAGATCCTCACAGAGGCCAGTTTCCCATCTGCCACCAGTGGCTACCCAGTTGAGAGGGTTAGAATGGGTCTTCCCAAGGCTACAGCAAGGTCACTGACTTGGATGAGCCACACAGTGAAGGAGGCCCCACAGCAGGTCTGTCACCACTCCTGAGTCACAGTGGACAGAATATCACCAGTGCAGCTTCGTCTACAAGAGACACAAGAGTGTTCCTCACCACTGGTAGAGCATCTGGGAAAATGTACAGCTGCCTGGAAAATAACAGCAGCTACTGCTTAATGCATGTTTCTTTTTTTTTTTTTTTGAAACAGGGTCTCACTCTGTCACCTAGGCTGGAACGCACAGAATGCAGTGGCGTGATCTCGGCTCACTGCAACCTCTACATTCCAGGTTCAAGCTATTCTTCTACCTCAGCCTCCCGAGTAGCTGGAACTACAAGCGTGCACTACTACGCCCAGCTATATTGTATTTTAGTAGAGACGGGGTTTCACCATGTTGGCCAGGCTGGTCTCAAACTCCTGACCTCATGATCCACCCACCTCGGCCTCCCAAAGTGCTGGGATTACAGGCGTGAGCCACTGGGCCCAGCCAATGCACGTTTCTTAAGTGCTAGTGTGTTATGTCGTTTTATTGACTTTTCACAGGAACCCAGAGACGATTATGTCTACATGTTTTAAATCCCCCCTTTCTAGGTGATGAAACTGAGGCCCAAAGAGGTTAAGTAACTTGCTAGCAAGTGGGGAAGAAGCTTGCATTTGAACTCAGGCCATTATTCCATCATATTCCTATGACACTTCATTTTGGCTAGTACCCAAAGCTGATGGTTTTGTTGATTCAATAGTCAATTTCTATTGCACGTCCACTATGTGCCAGGCACTGTATCTGGTGCTTACTGCAGTGAAAAAGCAAACCAGGACACTGCCCTCAGTGCAAAGAGTCTACTCTACTAGACAGAGGGCAAATAACAAGTACTAAGTGCTGAGAAGGAAAAAAACAGAGCGACATAGGGGAGAAGACAGGGCAGACCAATGCAGTGCAGGTGATCAGAAAGCCCCTCTGAGAGGGTCAGACCTCAAGAATGAGAAGGAGTCAGCTATGCAGCGTGGACAAATAAACCTGCCTTTGTCATGCCCAAGTAGGGATGTACTTTGTGCCCCCCTCCAAAGCGCCCAATACCTGGACAATATAGAGACAGGGACAGTACTGGGCCCCTCCTCCAATGCTGATCCCGATCAGGTTCTGAGCATCCTTCTGCAGGGTCACCTTCCCAGGCACAGTTGGGATTCCGCTAGAAAGAAAAGCAAGCGAGGCTGACTCTCCTGGCGGAAGGATGACTGGAGGGGGTGGGCCCTCCAAAACTCCTGAGGGGCTCCACTGGCTGCCCAGCTTTTTCTCTCCCTCCCTTGGACAAAACAACATTTTGTGCTGGAACATGCACAGCTCTTGGAGTTAAGCAGATGTGGGATCAAACCCCAGCTCTGCCATTTATCAGCTACAGAACTTGGTTTCTTTTGAGGCAGAGTCTTGTTCTTGTTGCCCAGGCTGGAGTGCAATGGCACAATCTTGGCTCACTGCAACCTCCGCCTCCCGGGGTTCAAGTGATTCTCCTGCCTCAACCTCCGGAGTAGCTGGGACTACAGGCGCCTGCCACCATGCCTGGCTAATATTTTTTGTATTTTTAGTAGAGACGGGGTTTCACCATGTTGGCCAGGCTGGTCTTTAACTCCTGACCTCAGGTGATCCGCCCGCCTCAGCCTCCCAAAGTGCTGGGATTATAGGCGTGAGCCACCGTGCCCAGCCAGCTATGGGACTTGGGTAAGTCACCCTCTTACCCAAGAATCTCAATTTCCTCATCCATAAAATGGGGATGAGCACCCTTATCAGAGTTCTTCTAACCATGCATGGAGGGCGCTAACAGCAACCCAGTCCACAGCAGGCACTCCATAAAAATAGGTCGCCCTTCCCTTTCATTTATTCAATCTCTGAGATTTGAGCCAGGTTCTGTCCTTGTCACCTTATCAGGCATCTATGGAATATGACGGCCACCTACTCCAAGGAGTCTTCCTCTATTAAACCGTCCACCGGTCCCACCTCTCAACTGCTCAATTACCTCTCAGTTTCCACTATAAATTAGCATTGACTGGTGTTTTATGATAAGTACTCACGCTGATTCACTTATTCATTCAAAAAAATTTGCTAACAACCTACTGATGTCAGGCCCCTTACTAAGTGCTGAGCACAGAGCAAGGCATTGCACCCACTCCTTGATCTGAAAGAGGATATATTCTAATGGGAAGACAAATCTAATTTTTGAAAATCTGTCCTACTAACGATCTATGTTGGGAAGGAAGGTGTGTCTACAATATTCCTATTCAACCTTCAAAACCTGGTTCAATTGCTACCTCCTCCATGAAGCTTTCCTTGACCACCCCAGCAGAAGCACTGCTCCATCTGCTTTGCTCTTCTTGTCACCAAGTCATGCTAATAGTGCCCTTATGGCACTGAGCTGTGATTATCCTTTTAACTGTCCACAGCCCCCTACAAATAGTGAGCTCCTGGCAGAGCAGGGTCCATTGCTGCTTCAGTACAACACCTGATCCACCGCTGAGAAGCAAGGCTTTGTGGGACTGGAAAGCCCTGGGAAATGAGAAACTTGGGGCTCCTATACTGCTGGAACTTGGGGGAATAAAATACTCACAGTTTATCCTCTTCGATGTCATAATCCAAGTCTGCAAACATGGTTCCGAGAGCTGGAGTGGGCTGGCTAACTGCCCAGCTCGGTAGGGGAATGGGGAACTGGATCCGGGAGAGAAAGGAGCATAGGATTTAGGGAACCGAAGTGCATAAATGTCAACGCCACCCCTCCCTCCATCACCCTCATACGGGACAGCAGGGCCCTCCTCTTCCCCTCTGGAGTGGGATGGGGCAGTCTCCGGGTGGGGGGCTGGGTAGGTGATTCTTACTAGGTACAAAGGGGAACTCCAGGCCAGGGCGATAGGCTCAGATCCCAGAGCCCGCCCCACGGGTCTCCAGGCCCTGAGGAGCTGCCTCTGTCGCTCACCGGAAGCGTTGGTCCCACAACCGGGTCCGGGCCAAGCTGGTACCTGAACCCACCTGCCGTTCCACCTGGCGGTGGCCGCTACTGTCACGTCACTTCCGGCAGGACGCGGAAGTCCCGCCTTTTCCCACACTGGATATTTGCTCCAATCCCTGCAGACAATCCTTCCCTTCCCGGTTCTCGGGACGCTCGGAACCAAGAACAAGAACAAGTATTGGCGGAAGCTTGCCGTTAGTAGGAACAAGCGAAAACAGAGGAAAGGTCTGGACAGGCTGACAGCATCTAACCCCGCCCTTTGCCCTGCTGCCGCCGCCATCTTGGGAAGGGCAGGATTGGTCCCAACTTCCTCAGCCGCACGCAGGGGCCCGCGCCTACCCGGCGGTTACCATGGCAACGAAAGCATCCCCGAGCTGGGGTTACCTCCGGCGAGGCTCAGTGGACTATAAACCGCGAGACGTGCCCTTCCACCCCTTCACCACCTGGGCCTGTGACTCCCCTACTAGAACGGCCCTTTGAGGTCCCAGCCCATCCCAGTTTCGCCAACTTAAGTGCCAAAGAGCGGGGAGTGATTTTGTGCGGGGCCACACACAGTTGGTATACGATCTGGATCGTGGCCCTGAAACTCCCGCCGCCTAGTCTAGGGGTCTTTGAATGTCCAAACACTAAACAAAGAGCCAGGAGAGGTGTATTAAGTGGGTCTTACTATTAAGGACAGACTGGACATGCTCCCTTCCCTTTATGTGCCTCAGTTTCCCCATAGGTAAACCAAGGCCATTGACGTAAATGCTTTCTATGGTATATGGTGAAAGATTTCTCACACCCCCTTCTCCTTCCTTACTCCTGAGAAGCAGCCCAACTGGGGTCCCAGGGAGGGTCACAGTCCCCATGTATCTGAGGCTCGGGAAATGCTCTCAGTGCTCCCCAATTGAAGAGTCCGAATCTTGTCTCCTCGCCAGCCTCTGCTGCCACTGCTACTGTGTAAAGTGGGTTCCCTGAGGGAGGGTGGCTCTCCTAGAGCCACAGCCAGGCATCCACCTCATCCGGCAGCATGGGGCCAGGCCCATCCAGCTTGCTTCCCCAGCTGCCCCAGGAGCCATGGAGGAAAGATATAGAAGGAGGACTGTCCACATATCCCACGGCCGATGGAAGCCCCACCCTACTCTCTCCTTAGGTGGCTAATTGAGTCTGGACAGATGTGCAGAATGCCGTGACAGCAACAGCCTTCCCACTGTCCACTGCTCTCCAGTCAGATCACTTTCACAGGATTTTAAAGCTCACCATCACCCTGTGAGAGGAGACCAAGTCTTGCCAGCCACATTGTGTAGGCAAGGAAACTGAGGCCCAGGGAAGCCTCTTCCTCTGGTATCATAGCAGCAGGGCGAGGGCTGGAAAAACCAAGCTCTGTTTCCAGGCCAGAATTTTGGTTTCAAAAAGCAGCAGTCTAAGGCCAGGTGCGGTGGGGCACACCTGTAATCCAAGCTATTCGGGAGCCTGAGGCAGGAGAATTGAAAATGGGAGAGGGAGGTTGCAGTGAGCTGAAATCGGGCCATTGCACTCAGCCTGGGCGACAGAACAAGACTCCATCTCAAAAAAAAAAGAAAAAGAAAAAGAAAAAGAAAAGGCAGCGGTCTCCAAACCCAGGTGCCTCAACATGGATTGTGGCTCTTCCAGCCCATGACGATGCTAGCTCAAGCCCAGGCTCTGCCATTTTGTAGCTGGGAGGTCTTGAGTAAGTCACTGTCTCACTCTGAGCCTCGGGCACCTGTAGAATGGGGAAATGACGCCTGCCACCAGGTATTTGTGAAAGTCAAGATTAAAAGGAGAGGCTGGGCGAGGTGACTCACGCCTGTAATCCCAGCACTTTGGGAGGCCGAGGAGTGTACATCATGAGGTCAGGAGTTGGTATAAGATCTGGATCATATATCTGGACCAGCCTGGCCAACATGGTGAAACCCCGTCTCTACTAAAAACACAAAAATTAGCCAGGCGTGGTGGTGTGCACCTGTAATCCCAGATACTCAGGAGGCTGAGGCAGGAGAATCCTTGAACCCAGGTGGTAGAGGTTGCAGTAAACTGAGATTGTGCCATTGCAGGCCAGCCTGGGTGACAGAGCCAGACCCCATCTCAAAAACAAAAGATTAGAAGGAGAAACAGGTGTGAATGCTTTGTAAACAATTTGCTTGGCACAGCTGTCACTCTGACCTCAAAACCCCCTACCCACTCTGGCCCTTCTTCCCAGGTTGGGGAAGATGCCCCTCTTTGCTGCCTTGTTCAGCCGTTGCCTGCAGGCTCCGCTCTAATTCACCTCTTCCCGGCAGGCTTAGCAGACAATCTCAGCTCATATATCTTGCTCCCTTTTCTGAGCTCCTGAGCAGTTGCTATTTGAATCATTCGTTCAGCAATTTGCTGTGTATTTGCCTTGTGAAATCTCTTCATGGTTTTCCTGAGCCAATTCTGCAGTGATTAATTTATTACATGCTTGTATTTTGTCTGGCAAGGTTTTTATCACCTTTAAATGTGGGGCTTAGAGCTCACAGTTTGATAAATTATAAAATGCTTCTCCATGTCCC